CGTACAGCTTCCGGGTCATGTGGCCAGCATGACTAAACCGCTTCTGGCGAACCAGAGCAGCGCACGGAAACGCCGTTTACCTTCCCGCCGGAGCGGTACCTATTTATCTACGTGCACTTTGACATGCTTTCGAACTGCTAGGTTGGCAGGAGTAGGGACCGAGCAACGGGAGCTCACCCTGTTGCGGGGATTCGAACTGCCGACCTTCTGATTGGCAAGTCCTAGTCTCTGTAGTTTAACCCACAGCACCACCTGTGTCTATTTTTAGGAGGGGGTTTCAGAACTGGGCTTTGCCTAGCCCTGCCGGGAGCCACCAGAGCTCCTTTTGCATTCGAAATATCTGCTCTTCCACTGAGCTCTTCCAGCCCTTCTCCAGAGTTACCACCCTCATACTGGAACTGTAGGGGCTGAGAGAAGAGTGAGTCACTTGCCTAAGGCTACCGCACTGGTTCATAGCTGTGGGGTTTCTTGAAGCAGTTACATCCCAGCAGTCGCTATGCAGCACCCTCAGCTTTTCTTAAGCAACAGAAAGCGGCAGCTCTCTAAATATTTCTCAAAAACCAAGAAAGCAGAGAGACCCTTGAGTAGGCTTGCTTCTAGCTGGAAGCCGCAAGAGGCATACTCACTCCTGCTGCCAAGTATGTGCAAAATACAAACCTATATTGGTGAACGTGTGCAGAGACACAGGCACAGCCTTTTTCTTTTATTTCCTCCCCCCCTTCCTAAAGTGAGTCATGCAACTTCAAGCTGCCATTTCAGATGCCTTACAAAAAACTTCTGTCTTGATTTCCTCTGATTGTAATGCTTTCTTGCCATAATGGACCATGTGCATAATAGGATGCCTATTTATATTTCTAGCCCGCCCCCCTATCTTGAAGACTTGAGGCAAGTGGCACTAAAATATTTGTGCACATAAAACAAGCAATTAAAAATTAATGGTGGTAGGTGGGGGATTTTAACCTCAGCTGCTGAAAGCCAGGCCCAAATGGAAAGCTTCCCTAAGAGGCTCAGGCTTCGGTGAAGTTATGGAAGAAGCCTGGCTCTATAACCACAGAAGTGGTCTTTTGGCCTGCGCTTCTAAATAATTTTATTCTAGTCACCAGACTCCCCAACCAAGACTTAGAAGTGCTCTCCAACTGAACACAGAGGACTGCTCTCAATACACAGCTGAATGAAGCATAAGAGGTGATAGAATATGCTGCATGACTCCAGACTGCAGGTGGGGTAATAAACAAGCTCAGGTGTGGTGAACCTTTGGCCCTCCAGATGTTTGCTTATGTACTTATAACCTGCAGTTTCATAAAATTCCCCCTGTCCGTAAAAACACCTTCCTGCAAGTAGAAAACAAGCTGATCAGGCTGAGCTACAACCTCTCTCCCCAATATGCTAGCTTTTTACTTGCAGTGACTCCTTTCTAAATAACAAGCAGATTTAAAATATGGTAACCCCTACCACCACCAGTCTAAATTGAACTATTTTGTTCTCCTACATGTGTACACAAAAGCCTCAGGGAAAAAACCCACCTCGCCTAGCAATAAGGAATTTGAATATATTTCAGTTACGTGCCACTTCCTGGTTCAAACTTTCAAACACTCGCTGTCAGCTTCAGTCACCAATTGCCCAATGCAGTCTCTTTTGCCTACCCCCAGGAGAACATCCCCCCCCCCCAGAGACCTCTGTGGTACAGTCACACTGAGAGAGGAGGTTTGTCAGCTCAGCTGGAAGCCCATGTCCCAATGGTTAGTTTTCCTGGTGTCAACACACTGGGTTAAGTAAGAAACAGGTGGGGAAATTTCTATTTTGGTTATGCAAGGACAAACTCCTGGAGTTTGGCAATGAATATGAGATAGGTATGACGGTGAGAGGTGGGTGGGAGAAAGAGCATGACTCAAATGCAGACGCCTGTATCGCTGATTAACTAACACCCCCCCCAAGGCTGAAGGGATTGATGGTGTATTTATATTACCCATTTCGTGATATACGTACTGGATACCTCTTGGAGGGTAATTGCACAATAGCAGGCAGACAGGTCAAGAGCGTTTCAGAAGGCATCTGAGGTGCACTAATGATTAAATTGCAGGCAAAGCCCTGCAAAGGGATCACCGCAAAACATTTCCTGCATTCGCAATCTGGTAAACAATCTTCCATAATCAAAATATCTTCATTCGTGGGTGCTTCAGTGGCAGTGGAAGAACTCTGCCAAGTGCCAAGATGATGTGGTATAAGCCTCTGCTTTTTCCAGCTCAAGCCTGTCACGCAGATTGCAAGGGAATGTATTTCCCCCACCAACTCACAGACAAAAAACTTCGCTTGGTTTTGGGGCCACTGGCATCTTGGTTGTTGCATCATGGGAGACCCAGCCTTGCAAGGTTCAGTTGTGTATCAACAAGCGCACACGTTACAGATCTCACAAGGAGGCGGTGGCGGCCTCTTTTGTAGGACACCAACTCCCAGTCAACCCTCAGATGGAACAGGGCCTTCTGTCATGGCACCCACACTATGGAACATCTTGCCTCAATAAATTTGGGTAGCCCGTCTACTGCTTTTGGAAACCCATTTAAAACTTTGTTCAGGCCATAGCTTAGTAATAGGACAAATGCTTTTCACTCAGAGGGTCCCATTTCAGACCCTGAAATTTCTAGGTGGGGCTGGAAAGATCCTAATCTGAAAACCTATCAAATCGCTTCCTATGCTCCACGAATGCGTGTTCCATTGACCATGATACTGCCTGCTGCTTTTAATATTGTTACTGGGGTGACTTATTGCCACTGTGCTTTAAAATGTGCCTTTTATTCGTTAGTTGGAGTCTCCACCGAAGGGCCAACAAGGCAAGCTCTCCCCCCCCCCCCAGCCCTAGCCCAGAGAATAGTACTTCAACTGTGTTTGAATAGCTTATTGCAAGGGCCTTGTACACACTGATATTTTATTCCATGGAAGAGGCCATGTGCTCAGTTTAACATTCTCTTCTTTCTCAAGTTTTTAAATGATCCTATTTTTAAAAATACCTTAATGGAGGCTGCTACTATTCAACAAATATGAGGGACAGGAAATAACATTTAGATTGAAAGAGCTGGCTCTCAAAAATGTAAATTTTGGCAATATTCAATAACTTCTGAATGGGACAGGGATTGTCTCATTCCTGAACTCCCCCCTCCTGCCACAAGCCCGCTGTCCTTTACACCTCAGCTGACAGCAACTCTGGGGCAGACAAGTTGGTGCCACTTGCCAACTCCAACGTGTGCAGGCTTGATGTGCTGCCATCTCCGCTTGGGACAACAGCAACCCATCACAGCGAGGAGACAAGGAAAAGCACCAGCTCCAGCTGCCTCCTTCCCCCTTGTGGCTTGGAACGATGCTAACTACCCATTATCCCATGACAAAAATCATCGAGTGAGTTGCAATCTAAGTCACTTAAGGAGGATACCTCATGCCAGCACAGAATCATAGCACTGTAGACTTAGAAGGTACACCAAGGGTCGTCCTGGAATGCAGGCTGCAAGGCAGCGACTTCCAGGGCAGCACTTGGAATGGGAGGCTGTAAGCAGCTTCTTTTAGCTTTGAATTCTGACTATCAAATAATGGAATTGCTTTCCGGTGTGTTTTTGTAATCCTGGAAATACTAGGGTGGTTTTTTTTTATGGGGAAGTTTACGATGCCCCTTGGTCACCATTGTAAAACTCAAGAAACACAGAGATCTGTTTACGGCCTGCAAGATCCAAGACTGGAAGCAGCGAAGGCAAAGGTGAGGATTTTGCAGTCGTGCAGCCGTCCCCGCTGTCAGCATATCCTGTCCTAACACTCCTTTTGCACCCTCTCACCACAGGCCACTTCCTTCCTCTTACAGTCATGTCTATTAAGATACTGAACTCAAGGCAGCGCTGCTACCCCTTGTACAATGGAGATACAAGCGTTCCTGTTGACTCTTTTGTGCGGACTAAACTTTTAAGTGAAAAACTAGTCCTGCAGCCAAGTCTTCCTTCTGGGCCAGTCTTCATTCTTGATGTTTAGTAGGGGCAGATGTCTGCCCGAAGCTTCTCTTTTTTTCTCGACACCCCAAACCCTCCTGGGGAAAAAACAACTTAAGTTCTCAGACAGTTAAAAATACATGTTTCCGCCTCCAAAATAAGACAAAATGAGGCATTGAAGGAATAAAGGAATGATTTATTTCAGGGTCTTTTTATACAATTCAAAGCAGGAGGGGATGGGGAGGCATTATTTCCCTTCAATCCAAGTTCCCTCATAGTATTACACACCCCAGGAGGAAGCCCGTTTAGCATGCCATCGTGGATGGACAAACAGGCAACAATGTCCGAACAGAGACTTCCTCCTCACTCAACCAGATAAGCTAAGGAAACAGACAGACAGACAAAATCCACATTCCCGTTTTTCTGCTTGCAAAATTTCTGTCTTTGGGAACCCGAAGGTTCTGGCAGTTCTTGCTCATCCAAACTGGTACCCCCCTCCCCAAAATGGCACACACAGAGATGGGAGGGCTTAAAATCCAGAAGTTAGTCCATCTAAAAAGTAGTGCTCCCTCCCAAAAGCTTTGCCTTCAACCAAGGTTGCTTCATTCCCAATACTTTCAGCAGACAACAGTCTAGCCGCTTGTTCCTGGTTTAGTGCTCGCATATCCAAAATACCTCCTCCCCTAGAGAGTTTGGTTGTTACGGGGCAACTGGGTTGTCCCCTCAGGACACACAAGATGTGATCGTCCGTCATCTTCCCAGCCTTTCCCCTCCCTTGTAAAATTCATGTTTGCTGATAGCTGCAGGCCCCTGACCATTTTTGGACTTTGATCTGACCAAGGCAAATTGGGGGAGGGTAAAATTCCGCACACATTGTTTAAGAACATCATTGATGAAAGTGGAGGGAGGGGGGAGTTAAGAGGGCAGCCATGTTAGTTTGTAGCAGCAAGAAAACAAAAGTGCAGTGCCGTTGCAGAGGCCAATTGGTTTCTTGAGGGATGTCAAAGGGTTCACGTACCCCGACTGCCCAATTTATCAAGATGCGAAATGGAAAGGGGGAGGAGGGAGGGAGGGAGAGGCAGACAACCACAAACCTTGCCTTAAAAGAGGAAGCAAATGAAGTTGAAAGCCTTCCTTTTCATCTGCACAGCCACAGAAGCAGAAGGGGGAGACATTTCCCCCCTCTTCCGAACAGGCACACCTTTCAAGCTTTGTAAATATCTTCATCTTGCGCTGCACAACAGCTGCTGCCCACAGTGACGTTTTAAGGTTAGAGATGTGCATGAAAGGTGTTTGAAAAATGGCACTAACCAGCAGACAAAAAACCAGCACATACATGCCCTCCATTTGCACAGGGAGGAACCAGGACTCCTGTGAGTTCTCAAGGAGTGTAGGGGGGGGGGGGGGGAGTCAGAACCCTTGGGCTCTGTTCCCAGTTGTGGAACAGTCATGTGGTTCTGTGGATTACAAGAGCGAGAGTCCAGGAGCCAGGATTTAGGTTCAACTCCCTTTGTTAATAATGCCCAAGGGATCAGAAAATGGCCCTGCTAAAAAATCAGCATTAGTTTATTAACTCGTTAACAAAGACAATAAAATGCCAAAAAAAGGAGATGACACTCCGCTCCCTTCAATTTCTTTGAGGGAGGGGTTAAAGGACAGGGGAAACCGATTTCCTTTCCCTCCTGTAGGGGAGGGTACTCCCCTCCCCTTCCCCAACCTGGGCACCAGGGTCTCACCCTGACACATCACATTAAGGGGGTCCAGAGATGGGTTACCAGGGTTCACAGCCACGTAGCAAAGCGCAGTTGTACAGCAAGTCAACAGGGGCACCCCCAAATTGGTACCCCCTGAATCCTGTGCTCCCCTCTAAAATCCAGTAGGGGAGCTGGGTACAGTCCCAAATCATCTCCTGGTGAAGCAGAGACCTGGAACAAAAAGAGATCCTATGAGGATTACAGACGCCAATACTCAGGAGTCCTGTCTACAAGTCACAAGATGCAGCAACATTTAAATCGCTTAGCTGCTGCGGGGAAACAAAAAACCCCCAAAACCATCCACATAGCAAACACACATTTCTGAAATTTGTAATAGCAAAAATGTCTACCTAACAAGTCTTGATAATGCCTCACAACTGGATGGTGTATATGTGTGTATATGCCTAAGTATTTGCAGGCAATGATCAGGCAACATAAAACTTCTCTGGCCACATACACATGCAAAGTTCAGATAAAACTCTCTCTCCAGGTTCCTTCACATGTGCGTTTCATAACTTAAGCAGCTTGCAGCAAGGATCTGCTCCACCCTGTTGGACATCCCCAGTCCATTCATGGAACTGTAGGAAGTGGAATCTCCACCAAGGGGATGTCACAAGGTAACTGGCGGTGGGAAGAAGCCACTACAGAATCACCGCATTCAACACCGATCATGTGAGTAACTTGGGCCAAGGTATTTCTGCCCCACAGCTGGCCTTCCCAAGGTCAGGCACCTTTACTAAAACCACCTCTTGACCCGCAGTGCTGTTTGACTTACCAGTGGTCCGAACAGCCCCTCAGGGCCCCTGGTAGCCAGGCTGGAATCGTGCCGTCTCCTCAAATATCAGCTCTTTCAGCTTCTCTTTGGGCAGGTCATCCAGCTCCATGTCAAAGGTGAAAGGCTCCTCAGCCACAGGCTAAGCGTGGAGCAAAGGGAGAGATGTAAAAATCCAGGAATCCTGGTCCCCAAATGCCTTCGTTTCCCAAGTCCGCCCATCCTAGCCCACTGTACTCCCTCCTTCTCGTTCCTCGCCTTGTGCTCCCAAATACCCTCAAACGGTAGTCAAACCCCAAGAACCAAAGCGTCCAGCACCTCATCTGAGGGGTCGTAGTACTGCTCTAGGTAAGGGTGGGCAAGGGACTCCTCCACCGTGATGCGCTTATTAGGGTTAAAGGTCAACATTTTGTCCAACAGGTCCAGAGCTGAAAAAGGGAAAGGGGGGGGGGGATAGGATGCAGTATCAGCAGCCAGACAGCAGATGGCAACAGGAAGAAAACGCGCACACACACACACACACAAAATTGTGCCAGCAAATAGTTGCAGGCCTGGAATCTGGCCACAGGTGGCAGCAGAGAGCAATGAAAGGTGGCTGGCATCACCCACAGCATCCCATAGCAAGATTCCTCCTGGATCAGGCCGAGGGCTCATCTAGCCCAGCATCCGTTTCCAATGATGGCCAGGTAGATGCTTCCATGCCCTGCTTGTGCAGCAACAGCTCTCTCCATTTTGTGCCTATTCACAGGTGCATTTGTTTTTGAAGTGGACGTTCCTTTTCTCTGTTGTGAATATGGGCGGCTGCCGACATCACAGTCGCGCCATGCAAATGCGTCTACCCCCTTTGAATGTGATCTATGCTGGCGGCCACCAGCCCCACATGCTTTGCTCTTTCCTCCTAGGGAAGATGCTTCACCTCACTTGACCACCTTGGCTGTTCACTTCTGTACCTTCTCCCGGCTTGCACTACCCTACTTGGCCTGGGCGTGGTCCACAACAACACTCCTCTAGCTCAGGGATTGCTACAGGTTTACAGAGAGGCACCAGAGTGTTATTCTCAACCCCTTTCCAATTAATTCAACATTTGAGTGCCTAGGAAATCCGAGCGCCTTTTTTCGCAGCAATGATACACTGAGTTGATGTTTTCAGTGAGCTGCTCACCATAACCCCAGAATCTCTCTTATGCACTTACTATCTGGCTTTCGTAATGATTTTACCAATTGACCTGTGACAGTAAGACTTACAGGTGTGGCATTTGCAATTCACCCCTGAATCCTTTCTTTAAAATGGGCCTTACACTGACAAGTTGCACATACTTGTGAAGTTGCTGGGCTTTTAACATCTAAGGTCTTTAAGGACTCTTAAAGTAAATGCAATTTGTCCCCAATTGAAATTTGAAACTTATCAATTAGCTCCTAGAAATCTTCTCTGTGTATCATCTTGATTTAACGTAGCTCCTTAGTGCTCTGTATTCCAAACACTGTCATAGAGGAGAGCTCTCACACACCGTACATGTCCTCAACATGGACAATTCATTTAGCTTCTCAGCTATCACCTGTCCTCCTTCAAACAGTCTTTTCACAGTTTTGTATTCTAAGAACATCCAAATGCTACTCTGGCTGGTTTCTTGCTCTTCAGAAGAAATTGCTGCCTGTTTTAAGTCTCAAGTTATTTGCTTTTCAACTTAAAGGGAGTAAGTCTCACTGAACTTAGTGGGAGTTGCTTCCAAGTGAAACATGCACAGGATTGGGCTACAACAATTTGACAGATTGTGGTAAGGGCAGCTTCTCGGAGTTGCAACATTTACCATCAGCCAGCCCCCAACTCCATCAGCAACTCTCTCTGTTCTCTTCCTTCACTTTGCCCCCTGGAGGAAGTCCACCATCTGCCAGAGAGCAGAAGGAACCAGCATAAAGAGCTCCAAATACCTTTAATGTTTTATCTTTTTGTGGATGAATTATAATTTGCTTGGGGAACTGTAAGCTGCACAGAGCATAACCATAGTGCAACAATCTCAATTGTCTTGGCTTCAAGGGGACTAACATTAGCATCATCACTATGTTTTGCCCGCCTTTACTGGTAGCTGACAATTTGATTGGCATTACCTCTGAATGCTAATTAAGAACTTTTATCCCATTGCTTTGTCTAGGGTGTGGCTGTCTGTTTATGTTATTAGTTAGAAACAAAACCACAGCTCTTATATTGTTAATAGCTGCATCAAAAGGAAATTTCAGGACACACTAATTTTCATACCCCTTCATGGCCAGAGTGATGAGAGACATAAAAGTCCTGGTTACACTGGGTGAAAATGCAGGTGGCTGAACAACATTTATATTTGAACAGTGAGGGGGAAACTGCAACCTGCACAGGCTAATGGGACCCTTCTCTGAAACAAAAGAGTTTAAAGACTTCTGGCTTAGGTTATATTGGGAAGTATAATTAGGCAAATAGTAGGGAAAACACTGGAATGTGAGAATGGACAACAATGAGCAATGCATGCTGGGACACAGAAGTGGCTGAACACCCTTTGCCTTCTTCCTCCCTTACCTTTGAGATCAGCCTTAGGGAACAGTTTGGCCCAGGGAACCTTGGGCTTTTGGGGCAGCGACTGGAGATAGTTGCGAGCCTTCATGTTGATGATGCAGTTCAAGTCGTCTTGAGACGGGGAACCCAGAATACCTGTAGAGATGGCAGATAGAACTTTGTTGGATATATTGGACAGGGAAAATAGTTTTCAAGTTCTGGAACAAGCAAGGCCTTGGGTACTGAAAAGAGACCAAGAGGGAGGCAGAGTTGGCCATTCAATAGTGAGTACAAAAGAACCTCTTCCCTCCAATACCAAATGCTTTACTCCCTGATATTTTCCCCTTACCCAGGATGTGGTTCAGCTGGTCCAGGTAGTGCTTGCCAGGAAAGATGGGTCGGTTTGACAGCATCTCAGCCAGGATGCAGCCCACAGACCATATGTCAATAGACTTGGTGTAGCCCTGAGAAGAGGGTAAAAGACATGGAAAGAGAACCAGGTTCTGGGCTTCCCTGCCATGCATAACCAGCCCACAGTTCATGAAGAGGCTGCTTTCTCCTTGCACAGTGACTATCTGGCAGAATGAAAACTAAGGTTCCTTTCTTTATGAGGCACTGAAAGCCTGAAACTATGGCCCCAGCAAAAGTACAGGATTCAGGAAGACATCTCTCCCAGATTTAATGGGGAAAAAAAGACCCATATGGTGGGTGTGAGCTAAGTGTTATTAAATTAAGAAAATGTCTTCATGTTGCTTTCATGGCTATGTTAATCCCCCCCCCCAAGAGGTTGAGAGACCTCACTTCCAACTGAACTTTGCATCACTTGTCCTCACTCCTACTATCTTACCTTGGAATTAAGCATGATTTCAGGGGCTCGATACCAGCGAGTAGCGACGTACTCCGTCAAGAAACCTGTGTGGTCATGGTCTGGGTCTGCAATCCGAGCCAGGCCAAAGTCACAGATCTGTAAGGAGAGAGAGGGGGGAAAAAACCCCAAAGGGGATGGGCATGAGCAGGAAACCCAGGATGAGCAGAAATCTAAGGTTGCAAAATGCAGAGTGGGGGTGGGAGAAAGCTGGTGTCAGCTGGAGAGGGAAGGAAAGAGTCTAGCAAAAGTTGCTGAATGCCACCTTCAGGTCACACGTGGTGTTGATGAGAAGGTTGCTGGGCTTCAGGTCCCGATGAAGCACATTGGCAGAATGGATGTATTTCAGCCCTCGGAGAATCTGGTAGAGAAAGTAGCAGATGTGGTCATTGCTGAGCTGCTGGGTCTTCAGCAGCTTATAGAGATCAGTTTCCATCAAATCCTGAACTATATATCTGCAGAGGGAGAAATGGTGCCCCCTCCAGGAAAGAGGGAGCAAGAGCAACAGTCAAGAAAAACAACTTTAATAGTAGTACTGTAAGTAAAGGAGCATCCTGGGAGGGGAAGGGGGAACCATAAAGTGCACACAAAGTGCTGAGCCACCCATGATGCCACCCACAATTTGTCCCTCAGGCTGAGTTAGATTTTCATAGGTGTAGTCCAGCCAGATACTGAGTGTTGCTAACACTTCCAATGACTGCCAAGCAGAATGTATCGCTGATAATGATGCACCGCTAATAACACCGCCTCTTCACATGCTTGTGATGTAAACCTATTCAGAGGCATGGTACTAAAAGAACATTCTTGATCTAAGTGATCATTTTAGCCCTAACCCATTAAAAGCACAACGCCCAGAGCCATGCTCAGAAGACAACAGGAAGCCAATGCGGATGCTGGCACAATCTTTTCCCAGCAATTCCACAACACATCATTATGCTGTGTGCCAGCCAAAGCCTCAGAGCCACGCATTTGATTCAAGGACTCTATGCAGATAACAGTGTGACTCCCACAGCCTCTGGGCATCAAAACATATTTTCACGTAGGTGCCCTTCCAGGCTTGGAAGGGACAACAGTGGTCTTCAAGGATACACATCACGCATCTGGTCGATGGTAGGTGCACGCAGGATGTCATTGATGCCGATGACATTCTCATGCTTGAAGCGCAAAAGGATCTTGATCTCTCGCAGTGTGCGCTGGCAGTACGTCTGGTGCTCAAAGGGACTGATCTTCTTTATGGCAGCCCGGATCTTGTTGACATGATCGTAGGCAGAGCTGTGGGGAAAGGAAGACAAAAGACACATGCAGATGGTAACCTCTGGGTCCGTGCACATACATAGACTGTCTCCTCAGTATAAAAGCTTGCATACATTCTTTCTCCAAATTGCCAAATGCCTTTTTCCCCCTCCTCTCCCCCATTGGAAGAAAACAGTCTGGTGATCCACAAGAGCAACTGACAAGGGGAACTGCTTCCATGCAAGGCAGTCAGAAAGCCCCAAATGTACACCAAGGTTTTGGATCTTAAGTCAATAGGATCAATACAAGGACAGAAAGATAAGGGAGAGAGGAGGAAATAGCAGGCACAGCAGTACAAATTGCATGATACAATTATTTAGAAAACCCAACTGTTTGGCTCCATTATCACCACTTGGCACAAGTACTGGCAGCTGGCAAGAGCTGGCAGAATGAGACGTAAAGAGTCAACACTAGGTGGCATGGTACAGGGAAGCTCTGGCCCTGCAGATGTTGCTGAACTACAACTGCTACGATCCTGGCCACTGACTATGCTTGCTGGGGCTGATGGGAATTGTAGTTCGGCAACATCTGCAGCGCCAAATGTTTCCTATACCTACTGTAAAGCTCTCAAGGCATGGAGTGTAAGCACAGAAGCCTAGAAGATCAGATGCTTAGTGAGGAGATAATAAATACTTCAGAATAAAAGGTGTTACACAGTTTGACTGCTACAGGTACTGGCAGCTTAAGTACCAAACCCAAGCTGTTGGGTGTAATATGGTGGCTAGGTTTCATACAATAGGATATTGCAAATACCCTAGCCTGGGTTAACTTTTGAAGGCACAAATGAGGCATATACAGCAGTTCTGAAGGTTCAGTTATTGGAATAGCCTACCATTAATATTAAAACTATAGGCCTAGTGTCAACCCAAGTCTAGAAAAGAACACACACTATGTCTCAATATGGTATTTAACAAGGCTGGCAAAACTATGGAGCCTACAGGAATAGTGGTGTAAAAAGTGCTAGCACTGAGTGGGGCTGACATCATATCAAGCATTCCCGCATTACTTAACTACATGGCAATGAGAGGTTTGGCAAGAAGGCAGGTTAGCCAGCCTCCGACTTGCAAGACGTGTCCCTGGTGCCAACAGCCGTGCAACAAGAAGTTTGTCAGATGCAACTTCTCCACCAAAGTGCTGCAGTGATAAGGGGGCACCAGGGCTGCGACCACCAAGCTGCTTGCCACCTTGGTATTAAAATGCACAGAAGCGCCCTTCGAAAGCAGCAGGAAGGCACCAGCCAGCCTCCGAACAATGGAGGCATGAGCAAGGAAGCTGGCAAATATTGGCACAAGGAGATAGCGGGCCGGCAAGGGCCAGTCCCTGGGAGGGGCTCGGAGCACAACAATGACTTGGCAGGGCTAGGGCGTGCTGCTTCTGCTCGTTCCTAGTTCACAGGGCAGTTTGGGAGAAGAGCATCTGCAGAAAAAGGCTGCAGCCGAGAGGAGAGCCCTGCGCGTGCAACGGGGAGCCTTGGAGCGGAGGAGCAACGGGAGCCGACGCGGACAGGGTCGGGGCGGGGAGAGCAGCGTCGAGAGCGCGGCAGGCGCCTCTGTCGGGGTTCAGTAACTAAGAAGCAACATGGCGGAAGCCTGTCGGAAAGGCTACGGCGGCCGGGAGGGCCGCTTTCGGCGGGTCGGCCAGCCAAGCCTCGGGCTCCTGGCACGGGTACGGCGCCCGGACAGGGCCATTCCGCGCGGTTCGCGCTCACTCACCAGACCATGCCGTAAGCCCCCTCGCCGATGTACTGCAGGTCCGTGTAGCGCGGCCCCACGTCGAACACTTGCCCTTTCACCGTCTCCACTCCCAGCTTCGGCGCTCCCGGTCCCGGCACAACCCCCGCCCCGCCTGGGGCTGCTGTCGCCGCTGCTGCCGCCATGGCCGACCTGATCGAGAATCTCCTGCAGCCGCTCCTATCGCTGCTTTACCCGGAACCGACACCGCCCGACAGCACCGCGCATGCGCTCGCCGAGGAAACGGAGAGACCGCCACTGCCCATGCGCTCGGCAGAAGCTGCGGCTTGAGGTTCCTCTCAGAGCGCATGCGCCAAGCCTGCCTCATAGCGTTTTGCGGGCCACAACGCGCCTGGCTCGGATTGGGACGTCAAGAACTCGACCCGGAAGCGCCGCGCCCATAACATTCCACTCAAAGCGATGCTCCACCCTCTCGCGCGCGCAAGCTTCAGTCCCGTTGGGCCACGCCCTTTGGCTCTGATTGGGCCACGCCTCTTGGCTCAGCTCGCCTCCAATCCAGTTCCCGACGCCACGCGCTTGCTCTTGTTTCAAGGCCCGCCCTTTTCCGTGTAGTCGCGTGTTCGAATCCCCAGTGATGCTATATACTGCATACACTTGCGGGCTTCTTTGTATTCATTTGGAGTTCGATTTATAGTCCACTCCATTCTGAATGGAGAGATGCAAAACTACACCGGTTGGATTTATGCAGCAGTGCAGTGGCAGGAGCTCTGCCTTCCTTTATTTACTACCTATGGCGTAAGGGCTCCAAAGAAACTTTACAATAAAAACAAAGCAACTTGGGTTTAAGAATGACTCTAGATACCTATGGGCAAAAAGGGGTTCCCAAGCTATAGTCAGAGCAGGACTTTGTTATTGGGGGTTATAGAATCTGAGAATTATAGTTGGAAGGGACCATGAGGGTCATCTAGTCCAACCCCTTGCAGTGCAGGAATCTTATGCCCAACGTGGAGCTTAAACCAATGACCCTGAGATTTAGAGTCTCATGCTCTACCGATTGACCACTTGACCTCGCACAGGGCACCGTATTAACAAAAGATTATCAAAGGCTGCCCCTGATTTTTTTTTTTTTTAAAAAACATGATTTTCAGCCAAAAGAGCAATCCCCAGAGTGAGTTGAAGCAATCAGTAGTAAATGTGTTCCGGCATGTAAACCTGAAAGACATGGTATAAATGGCAAAATATTTGGAAGGAAAAGGTAAAAAAGCAAACTCCTGGAGAATGCCTGGATAAGTCAGTTGGTTAAAGGGTGGTGGCACTGATAATGCCAAGGTTGCAGGTGTGATCCCCTTATGGGACAGCTGCATATTCCTGCATTGCAGAGGGGGCTGGACTAGATGATACTCAGGATCCCTTCCAATTCTATGATTCTATGGTCTCCAGATCTTTGGGGGAGCTTTGGTCTCTTGTGAGGAAGAAACATAAATGTAACATTTTGAAGCTCCTGGGAAATTCTGGCCATCACAAAGCACAGAGATGGATAAAATGGCCACTTGATTGTCTTGCTTTATCTCCCTTAGGACATTCTAAAGCTCTCTGTTGTGAACATGGCAGGGTTTTTTTCTTGCTCCTAATTACTGCCTCCTGCGTTTTAGATCAGGAGATACTATGATGCTGGAAAATTTAGCTATCCTTTTCTTAATGTAAAGGTAAAGGGACCCCTGACCATTAGGTCCAGTCGTGGCCGACTCTGGGGTTGCAGCCCTCATCTCGCTTTATTAGCCGAGGGAGCCAGCGTACAGCTTCCAGGTCATGTGGCCAGCATGACAAAGCCGCTTCTGGCGAACCAGAGCAGTGCACGGAAACGCCGTTTACCTTCCTGCTGGAGCGGTACCTATTTTATCTACTTGCACTTTGACGTGCTTTCAAACTGCTAGGTTGGCAGGAGCAGGGACCGAGCAACGGGAGTTCACCCTGTTGCGGGGATTCGAACCACTGACCTTCTGATCAGCAAGTCCTAGGCTCTGTGGTTTAACCCACAGCGCCACCTGTTTAAGGACATGTTTGTTAAGAGAAAAAAGTTGACGCAAAAAGTATTGTCAGTCTAAAGTGGAGGCCTCTCAATCTGGGCTTGGGATTCTCTCAGACATAGGAGCCAACTCCTAGGGGCGATGGGGGCTTCAGTCCCCACAATGAAATATTTGAGGGGGGTGGGCTCCCGCAAAGTTGATGAGCATTCCCATTCAGATGGTGTGTGTGCACTGCATCATGTGATCAGTTATGTGGGGTGGGGCTTTCCTGGGCCCCTGCAATATTTTATTCAAGTTGGCACCCCTGCCCTCAGATGCCATATCCCCTCCTCAGCCACACCCCTCACCAGCCCAACTACACTCCTCTGACATTTTTGTCTGGCTGCAATGCATCTTTGCACTTTGATCCTGCCGCTTGGTTTCCTGGGTGGAGAAAGGGGTGTGTAGAAACAAACCTGCCACACAGAAGTACATTTTGCATTCACTGCTGTGACCACTTTTGCCTTCTCACCACTGCCATGTGGCCCTCAGTCTGGGAAAGATTCTCCATACCGGCTTGAAAGGCTAAGAGTTGCGTCCAGTGGTAGTCCTACTCAGAGCTAACCCATTGAAATGAATGGCCGTGGTTCATTAATTTCAGTAAGTCTGCTCCAAGTAAAATGTATGCAATCCTATATGTGTCTACTCAGAAGTCAGTCCCGTTGAGTTCAATGGCATTTACTAAGATTTCAGCTTTATTGTAGTAGTATACACTTTCCTAGACTAGGCGGGGTAGTGTTGAGAATGCTAGGCAGGGCGGGTTAAAGATCCTGCTAACCACAAAGTATATTGGGTGAATTTTTAAAAAAGCACTGTAGGATCAAGTCAATGGCTCATCTAATCCAGCTTCTGGTTCTCACAGTGGCCCACTAGATGCCTGTGGGAGAATTTCAAACTCGATGTGAAACAAGGGCCTCCCTTCCTGTGATTTGCAGCAACTGGTACTCATAAACTTTAAGGCAGTCACACTCACACACCTGCTTGTTGCAGAAATCAGAGGGAAAGGCTTCCATTCTTCCCTGAGCTTCTTGAAGGAACGGAATAAAAATATATATAATAAAGATGTGGCGTTATCCTGGCAGATTATTTACATACAAGAAATTATAGAAGGTTGGGTGAAAAGGCCATGCGATGTGCAGAGCTACACGGGTCTACTCAGAAATAAGCCCCATTGAGTTCAGTGGGGCTTACTCCCATGTAAAGTGCATCTAGGACTGCAGCCTAAGCACCAGTTGTTGTCAGTGAGATTTCTACATAAAATTCAAATGTATTAAAAATAATTAGCACACCATCTACCCACAACAGCATCTGTAGGGAACAACACTACTTTCCTGTGCTTTGATTTGCTGACTTAAAACCTACAGCAGTAGAGAAATCTGTGCTCTCAGTTGATCACAAACAGAAATGCTTCTCCTTCTTAATTTATATAGATTAATGACAAAACAGACATTTCAGGATTTGTCTGAAACAAGCAGCTGGAATGGATGAGTAGAGAGAGCTTCACTAGATTTAAAAGGGCTGCTTAGTTTCTTTCTCTGTTCCCTGATCCACCATCACCCACACAATCCTCTAGCCGTCCCCTCCCCGCAAAACAAAACCCCAAACAAAAAGAGGCCTTGGCATCTTAAACAAATGTATCCTAGCATCAGATGTCCAGTATGCAAGAGCCCTCTTTTGTCTGATGCCGTCTGCTGAAGAGGACTCTACTCTTAGCTAGGATGCAAGATCACATCACAATAAATGCATTAGTTTCTGAGGTGCCACAGAGCTCCTGGCTTTCTTGCAGCAACAGACTTGACCTGGTGACTCATCGGGAATGAATGCCTAAAAAACATTTCTCTGCCTATCAGTGAGGCCGTGCTTGAATAAATAAAAGCCTGGCCTCCAGGCAATTACAATTCTGTGCCAAAAAGAAAAGAAAAAAGTGAAATGGGTTGGATTTGCATGAGTTTAGTTTTATGCAGTAATTGTCAACATTTTGCATGCTTTATCCAATGTCTTGTAGTTAGAGTGGGCATGGAGCTATGTTGAGGATTGGAATACCTCTAACCATTGGGAATATTGTCCAGGAATTCCTCTGGCTTCCAAATTCTCAAGCTGCCCCCAGAGGTTGCCCACCCAAAATCAATGCTGTTGTTACACGGCACCCTCTTCCTCCGGCAGTGTTACCAAGCGGAGTTTCCTTTGAAGAAAAGAGCCCTGAAGAGGGAAGACTTGCAGTGTCTATGATAATTTGGTTCATATACAGTGGTACCTTGGGTTAAGAACTTAATTCGTTCTGGAGGTCCGTTCTTAATCTGAAACTGTTCTTAACCTGAGGTACCACTTTAGCTGGGACACAGGTGGTGCCGTCGCAGGATAAACCACAGAGCCTAGGACTTGCCGATCAGAAGGTCGACGGTTCGAATCCCTGTGATGGGGTGAGCTCCCGTTGCTCTGTCCCAGCTCCTGCCAACCTAGCAGTTCGAAAGCACGTCAAAGTGCAAGTAGATAAATAGGTACCGCTCCGGCGGGAAGGTAAACAGCGTTTCCGTGCGCTGCTCTGGTTCACCAGAAGCAGCTTGGTCATGCTGGCCACATGACCTGGAGGCTGTATGCCGGCTCCCTTGGCCAATAAAGCAAGATGAGCGCCGCAACCCCAGAGTCGGTCATGACCGGACCTAATGGTCAGGGGTCCCTTTACCTTACCACTTTAGCTAATGGGGCCTCCCGTTGCTGCTGCTGCTGCACCGCCGCACGGTTTCTGTTCTCATCCTGAAGCAAAGTTCTTAACCCGAGGTACTATTTCTGGGTTAGCAGAGTCTGTAACCTGAAGCGTCTGTAATCCGAGGTACCACTGTATATGTGGCTGATGGGTCCATACTACAACTCCCATCAGCCCCAGCCAGCAAAGCATTTTGGGAAAGTACCGTAGCTGTAGTAAAGCATCTGTGGAAGCAAACATCAGGCCGTTCCACAAGGCAGCAGATTCATCCAGGAAGCAACTCGGGTAGCCACCGCCCTGTGAGAATACCATGCACCCCTAATTTTCCCTCTGTCTGCTCATTCCAGCTGCAAAAATGGATGTTTCTCTCTCAGGCTGTGTACACACTGCTGTTTACTCCATCTCCAGTGTGCTCCCGCCACGAGTGTTTGAAGCTGAGTACATGTGACGTTAGCTAGAACTCATGTGCATCCTGTAGTTTATTAAGAAAAACTCTGGTTTGGTGCGTTTTCTCTCAAACCAGCTGCCATCTGATTTGAAAATGTAAGCCACATTCACTTCGCAGTTAAGCTGAGGTGTGTACATTTGAGGGAACTGTTGCACATGCACACAAGCTGACAGCCTTGTGAAGAGGATATGGGGTTGCACGCACGGGGGAAACCAAAGAGGTCGTGTCTGTTGGGTTAAGATACCCCCTTCCCCTTTCTTGGAAGTGTGTAAGTGTGCGTGTGTGGTCTCGCTGCATTTTAAGCCCCTGATGTGTACATAGCCTCACACACATAACAGGTAACAGCTAACATTTACTCAGAAATAAGCCCCACTGTGTAAAATAGCGCTTACCACAAGTTAAGTGTGCGTAGGATTTGCAGCTACAGTCTTCCAAGAATTTAGGTGAATTGCCCATTCAGGGGACCACCCCCAGCCATAAAAGAAGATTAGTATTTTATTTTTTTGCAAAACAGTGGGCTCTCAGCGGGTGACACTTGGGGACAAGGTTGTAGTGATATAGATCTGTTTGCTGGAATTGGCCAACAAACTCACAGTACATACCTTCAGAGCCACAAGGCTTAGAAATTTGGGGATTTATTTCAAAATGAAAGCATTGCTTTTTAAGGAGCTGAATTCTGCTCCTGTACCACCTTCTACATTTTGGGCTACTGTGGAATCTAAGGCTTGGATGCAGCCTTGCTTATCACTAAAGGATGGGTGTGAGCAAGGAAGCAAAGTATACAAAGGCATGTGCACAATTTTTTAGAAAGATAAAGCAGGTAACAGCTAACATGCTATCCGATTATAATTTTACCAAAAAGCCACCGGGCTGTGGCGAATTGTTCCTTCATGCAGGAGCGAACAGACCTGTGCAGCCTGCAACCTTTCCAAATAGTTGGTTTAACAAAGCATCCCTTCCAAACCGTTTGCGTGTCTCTGTTTAGCACAAACGTATCAGCAATTCTCTGTAACGTTCAGGATGAAGAATATGTACGGAGAGGAAATGAGATGGGGGAGAAGGAAAGCGAGACCTGAAGATGGATGCTCTGTGTCTGTGTGTCTGTGTGTCGGGCGAGATATGACAAGCAGAGCCTCTGAGCTCCCTGCTTGACGCACGCTGAGCGCTGGCCCTTTAAGAGACCAGCCCTCCTCGCTCTGACAGTTCCAGGGCGATGGCTCTGTTAAAAAGCTCTGAGCAGCTTCATCTCCAATTCATTGTGTGGTGCATCTGCAAAAGAGGCTGCAGGTGAGAGTTTGGGGCTGGGGGGCGAAAGGACCTTCCGGTTGGGAGGGGGAGATGGCAGTGAATTGGGGAGGGGGCTTTTGCTCGCAGAGCACTGGGGGGGCTCTTGTATTGATGATTTTATGCCTGAAGCACTTTTCAACGTGCAAAACGCTGCATGTTGCATGTTCCTCCTGTAATACCTAATTCACAGGACCCTGTGAGGCAGGTCACAAAATTTACTATTCCCATTTTAAAGCATGCGAAGCCAACCATTTTTTTTTTAAAAAAAATCTCTTGTGGCTTAATCTGTGCTCAGGATTTTGCTGTATTTAGAATTTTCTTTCCAGGTCACATTGGCTAGCAACCCTTGGCGTGTGATGTGTCTGTTGTCCCCTGTGCCCAGGCATGGTGTCATAGATGGAGTGTTTGGTTTTAGGTCAGATAGTCCTGGTTTCAAATGCTCCCACCCCCGGTGAAGTGAAATCTGTGACTGTGGGCACATTTTTATCCTCAGCCAAGCCCACCTCACAGGATTGTTGTGAGGATAAAATATAAGCCCATATATATCATCCTTGGAAGAAGAATGGCATGCAGACCTGACAAATGCGTAAATGTGCCGGGTACAAACAAAATTGCCTTCCCTTTCCCACACGCGACTTGGCTTTGTTGCTTGGGTAATCTAAAGAGTTTGGCGCCTTTCAAACCAAATCGTGCTCATTGGGGGAGCAAATATGGACTTATCAGGAGCTTATTTCTTATAGGCGTGGGATCGGGCTGCATATACCTCTCATGTGAAACATGCAGGCATCTCTAGAAAGGTCTGCCTGCACGGTGCTTGTGGAACTGCCTGCCACTCCTGATCTTTCCCAGAATCTGAATGCTATTTTGGTTGGAGTGTTTGTGGGGCTTCAAGTGTGGTTTTGCTGGTTGGGGGAGCTTGCCAGGGCAAGGAGCTAGGATGCACAACCCTCAATTATCTTGCAGACTGTGTGACTTTGAAATGGTGGCATGATTGAGACCATTGGGGCCACAGCTAAGATCAGACTTCCTAGCTCCAAGGCTGCTATATGGTCTGAGATATAAATACTGGGTTGAGGGGTCTGGCGACACCAGTGCTTACGGGACTAGGAATTTGACCCTGGGACCATTGTGATTTGATGCCCCCCAACAATGTGCAAGTGAAACTCTTTGTTTTTGTCTTTGCAGGAACCATGAGCCGTAAAGTTGTGAGGTCCAGTAAGTTCCGCCATGTCTATGGACAACCGGTCAAGGCTGACCAGTGTTACGATGACATCCGTGTGTCCCAGATGACGTGGGATGGGAATTTTTGCTCTGTCAACCCCAAATTCCTGGCCATCGTTGTGGAAGCTAGTGGCGGAGGAGCCTTCCTGGTCTTGCCATTGTCCAAGGTATGTGAGCCACTCTCTGGAAAGATGGCCTTTCTAGAATCTCCTGCCCCCCACGGACCTCAGCCCTCATCTCCCACCACAATTCAACCCCTTTCAAGCCCAGCCACCCCCAACCGACAGCTACATGCATGAATCTTAACTCTGAGGTCTCTCTCCCCCCGCCCCGTGTCTTTCCGGGGTGGCGCTCTGAAGATGGCACAGAGGAGGAGGGACGGGGAACTTGTGAAACTGCCGAAACGACAGATCTCTTTCGACAGGTTTTTTGTTTTGCCTTAAATGGCCTGAAGTTTGAACCTGCTGCGGAAATGGGGCCTTGAGAAAGAGGAAGTGGGTTTGGGGCAGGCAGAGAGGGGAAGGAAATCGGGAGAGCGCTTGGTAACTAATGAAGCTCTCTCGGCCTGCCCTGTCTCTGCCTGTGCCCCAGTTCCATGCGCCCCCTAACTCGCTCCCCTTTACTGCTACCCCAAAAACCCCTCTGCACCATTCCCCAGAAATGGAAGCCAACAAGTGATGGATTCAGCCTTTCTCTAGGCCTCACGTCCTTTCCAGTTCTTCCAGTGAAACCAATTGCCATTGTTAGATGTCTGGCTTTTGCCTGATCCCCAAACCTCATGTTTTACAAGTGACTCTCTTCCCCTCCTGTTTGGTTGGGGCATTTTCTATCTTTTTGTCACATTTGAGGTCTTGGTAGGTTAATGCTTCTGACAATGCCCCTGTACTTCTCACCATGTGTGGGGTTGTGTGGTTCAGTCTAGCCACAACACGCTCAAGGACCCTCCTCCCCTCCCCAAAAAATGCTTCTTCATTTTTTATTTGGCCACTAAGTTGAGGCTCAAAGCTGAGGCTGGGCCTCCTCGCCCCTCCACATTTTCCTCTGCGACGATCTTGTGTTTGCCCCTAGGACACAAGTGTCTCATGACTCCAGCGTGATATGGGAACGAGGAGCGGATTCACACTCCTGAGAGCGACAAAATGGGGGAGAGGGGAGGAGGGGAAGTGCGAGAGGGAAGCCATGTGAGCGTTGCTGATCCCAGTGAGGCTGATCCCCTTTCCAGCAGGGCAAATGGCCCTTGACGTTGGCCCATTGTTCCTTACTTGGTTGCCGGACTCCCACCCAGGTTGCGGTTCCAGCCCATTTATTGGGTGGACGGGACAAGCAGAAGAAACTCAGTCCCAGAAGAAGCAATAGGGAGGGAGACAGATTGCAGAGCTGGCATTTACAATGTGCAGAAGGCTGGAGTGGCGATCTAGAACAGCCATTGGGATATGTGGCATGAGTCCAAGTGTGGGTGGCTAGCTTAAGCCCAATAAGGCTGATCAGACAACAGAGGCTGGTCCATTAGAGCGAATGGGGCTCACCAAATTCTCAGTTTGCCCTCAGCCAATCACCACTTGTCTGCCTTCTTATTGACAGCCAAGCTGGGGGCAGAACTGCATGCCATTGGCTCTGGCGCCACCTAGTGTCAGCTCCCCTGCTGTCTGCCCTGCTAAGCCCAATGGGCACCAAGCAGCACTGCGGTCAAATCTGTGGGTCACATACCTTTGAAAGGGTAGCCCAGGGTTGCAAGATCCTTTTAAAAAAATAAATTTTATGAAGGTTTATAGAGAAAAATACAAAACTTAATACCCCCCTTTTAAAAACCAAACTAAAACTTTTATCTAAAAACATAAAGGGGGGGGGACAGAAGAAATAGAGAAAGAAATAATGAAAAAAGAGAGTAGAAAATAGGTTAAAAGAGAAAGATTGGGGGGAGGGGGACCACCTAAAGGCAGCCAGGCCTGTTGTTGTGCATTTCATAGCAGGCTGATGCCAGGAAGCGGAGGTTTTCACAGCATGGAGATAAACGTGATCACTTGCTGCTGTGATTCAGCTTGCTAAGAAGCGGTGCCTAAATTGAATAGATAAAAATAGCCGACAGTGGCAGTGATATCTGCAGATCAACCTTTCACTCAAGGCACAGGAGCAGAGGCTGGTTGAAACGTTGACAACTCTGCAGTTCTTTCAGTGGAGCTGTGTGGTTTTGGGGGGAGAAGAACGGGTGGCAAATGTCTCTCTGTTTTTGCGCAAAAGAGCTGAAGAAGGAAGGGAAGTATCGAAGCGGGGTGGGTGGCAAAGAAGTAGAAAGGAGAACTTGGCAAGGAGGGTTGCAAAAATCCAGCCACCCAATTAGCCACTGGCACTTAGGACAGGGCCTGACAACCGGCACTTGGCCTGCTGCCATCGCCTCTTCTCTTAGCTGGCTCCTGGGGCAAAAAGCTTATTTCTTCAGAAGAAATGCTTGATCAAAGAGCTCTCCATGCAGTGTTCAGATGAAATTGTACATGAAACGCAGCTAAAACCCACAAACCATTTAAAAGCAAACATGCAGCAAACTATCACCATTAAAAAACAAACCCCGAAGATAAAAGCCTTAAAACTTTAAATGAAGATAGGTTTTAAGAGAAGCAGTCTTGTCGGCTCCTAAGCTTTTTGAAAAGGGATTGCACTCCTGCAAATAATATTTCAGGGTGCCACTGCTGTGGACCCCCAGACCCCCCTGGCCCTCATCTGCCCCACTCCAAGAGTGAGGAGATCCAACTGCATCTTCCACTTGCCTTGCCTGTTTGTTCCACAGCTGGGACTGATGGGAATTCTGGTCCAAAATGTCTGGAAGGCGCCAGCTTGTGGAAGCCTGTTCTGAGGAACAGGTGTGCCTTTTGGCCTGCAAGGAGAGGGCAAGTGATTGGGCAGCGGCCAAATCTCACCCCTCAGAATTCTGGAGCGAGCACTGCATCATGGCAGAAAAGTCATATGCTTAATCTTCATAATGTAATACGCTTCATCTCTACAAGCGGGGGATGGGGAACCTAGGTCCTGCCCCAGGTGTTATTGAACTCCAACTCCCATCAGTCCCAGTCAGCATGGCAAGTTGCCAGGGATGATGGGAATTGTAGTCCAGAGTTGTCAAGAGGGCCACCGGGTTCCACATCTCGGCTCTAAAGTCTGAGAAACCCTGATCTGGATTGGAGAGCCACCACTGGAATGAGTTACATCAGAGTTGGGGCCTTACCTGGAATGCCTCCCCAACTCTGCTTGAAACTTGAACCTGTGCCATCTGCCAACACTGGAAAGCAGTTGAGAACAATTTCTGCCTGCTGTTAAGTCAGGGAAGGCAGCCAAGAACTGCCAGGAAGAAGGGGGAACTATGCTGGCAAGTCAGCACTGGGGGAACTTTGGAGTCTAGGACTCCTACTTCTTCCTTGCCGTTATAGATGCTTGTGTTGGGGCGAGCTGATTCTGGATTTCCAAACCTTTGCATGTTTTGTGGAATCTCCTACATGTCTATAACAGGGATGGAGTTGGGGGGGTGGGGAAGGCTGGTACCTGCCAGGTAGTTTGTGTAAGGTGGTTTATTGCAGGCCCATAACCAGAGGGGGAGACAGTGCTTTAGTTTCATTGAGAGGCACTGGAAATAAACACCGTTCATTTGTGGGATTTTAACTGTCTTGTGAATTAATTGGTTCTCCAACTTTTTTTCTCTGGGCCACACTTTCAGTGTCGCAACGAAATTTTTATTAGTGAGAAATACAACTCCTAGCTGTTCTTGGCACCTGTCTTTCTTGAGAAACAATGGAGTGTGCCTCTCAGGGTGAAGTCAAACGGCTGTATTAGCAGCACCAAAGTTGATACTGCTTCTGGTTGTATATTCAAAAAAAAAATCATTTTGATGCTATACTCAGTGCCGGATTTACGTATAAGCTAAACAAGCTATAGCTTAGGACCCCACTCTCTTGGGGCCCCCCAAAAAAATTAAAGGGGGAAAAAACTGGATGTACATTTCCAAAATATAAGATAAAAAAACCAAATAAAACAATACCTACATACAGCAAATGGCATTAGATACCCATTAGGTCCATAAATTACTATATATCATATATTCAACACAAAAACAGCGACAATTTGTTGACAAAGGACAGCTGGACATATAAAGGGCCCCATTACCTTCAGTAGCTTAGGGCCTCATCAAACCTAAATCTGGCCCTGGCTATACTATACTATATTACTGAATATACTATATTACCGAATTGTTTAAAAGTTTCTTTGATTCTCCTTGAATCTTCCTGCCACATTTGCCATCCTCTCTTGCCACATCCTTTGAGAACTACTGACCTGGGACAACACCCCCCTCCCCCAAATCTGGATGTTTGCAAAAGTTCAGGGTTGTTTTTATTATTTATGTAATCAGAAGAACAGGGCCCTTCCGTTGTAAATGAGTCTTTTATGTCTCAATCTCTTTGTCGGCCACTTTCTCTACTGGGGCCAGCTGCCAAACTCTATTAAGTCAATTAGATATGGGTGCCCCTTTCAAGTTTCCCCCCAAAGCCAGGCTTATCACAAGTCTAGCTGCTAACAAATAAGTAAGAGATTTAAATGAAGTATTGGCTTTTTGACCCTGAAGTATATCCAGTCAAACTCACTTGGCCCTCTCTCCCCTCCTCCTTTTTGCAGACTGGCCGCCTGGATAAGGCGGCCCCGGTGGTCTCGGGTCACACAGCCCCCGTGCTGGATGTGGAGTGGTGCCCCCACAACGACCACATCATTGCCAGCGGATCTGAGGACTGCAGCGTTATGGTGAGTGGGAGCAGCTGGATGGGGGAAAGGGATGGGGGTGGGGGAAGGTAGGAGCAGGGTGGACGGAGACAAGTGGGTGGGGCTTAGAGGGAGATATTGGGGGAGGAGCTTAGGGTGCTTCCAGACAGGGGCGCTGATGGGCAGTGCTTGACGGAACCTGGGCAGGTTGAGGGTTTTTTTTTTACCCTCCCCTTTGTCACTCCAGGGAGGCGGGTGGCGCTGTGGTCTAAACCACTGAGCCTAGGGCAGGGGTCTGCAACCTTTAAGACAAAAAGAGCCACTTGGACCCGTTTCTGAAGAAAAAAAAACTGGGAGCCGCAAAACTCATTATTATAAAAATAATTTTTTTGTCACTTTTTTATTATTTCTTTGTTTGACCCCTCAGAATTACTCCTCCTCATAGAAATAAACGTTAAATTAACAAGTTACCTTTTTGTGTGTGTGTGTGTGTTCTTCACTCCCCTTCAAAACAGTGACCAGCGTACATGCCCCTTACAATGTAGCGGGCGGGCGGGCAGGAAGGTGACGTCGGGACGGTGCGTGACTAACGCACGCACCGCCCCCATGCGACGTCACAGCCAGTACAGCGCCCGCCACAGTGGGGAGTGTCAGAGCGCACAATGCACCTCCTCCCCTCGCTAGTATCCGCCCCGGAGCCGCAGCAAAGGTGTAAAAGAGCCACATGCGGCTCCGGAGCTGCGGGTTGCAGACCCCTGGCCTAGGGCTTGCTGATCAAAAGGTCGGCGGTTCGAATCCCGCAACGGGGTGAGCTCCTGTTGCTTGGTCCCTGCTCCTGCCAACCTAGCAGTTCAAAAGCATGCCACTGCAAGTAGATAAATAGGTACCACTCCGGCGGGAAGGTAAACGGCATTTCCGTGTGTTCTGGTTTCCGTCACGGTGTTCCATTGCACCAGAAGCGATTTAGTCATGCTGGCCACATGACCCGGAAAGCTGTCTGTGGACAAACGTTGGCTCCCTCGGCGAGATGAGCGTCACAGCTCCATAGTTGCCTTTGACTGGACTTAACCGTCCTGGGGTCCTTTACCTTATAGCCAAGTATCCATGAAAGGGTTCCAAAAGTCAAGGGGGCGGATCTTCAAGGGGGAGATGAAGGGTTGTCTTCAACTAACTTTTACTCATAGTACACCCATTGAAATGAATGGATCCGTAAATGGCCATCACCAAGTTAGATCCATTGATTTCAGCGGCTGTTCCCCGAGTGAAAGTTGAAAACAACCCAAAGGTCACCTAGAAAGGAATTCATCTAGTAGGTGAGAAGGGCTGTCCCCCTTATTAGGATTTATTCCTACCCCCTGCAAGCCCAAATAAATAGCGATCTGAGTCGCGCCCTGCAGAACCTCGCAGGGAATGGCATGGTGCAAAAATTCAAGGAGTGTGCCTTAAAAGCTTCTCTGACACCCCAGGGGCGTTTCTCACCCAGAACACACACACTGGCAAACATATAGTCCTCAACAGGCCATTTCCTGGTTTGCTTATGGGTCTGGCTGCCCCTGCAGATGGGCAAAAGTGGAGGGGATACAGGTATGGGCTAGGCATGGCTGGGAGCAACGAAGGGGGTTGCCTCTTGCTCCTGATGTCCTCCATTCTCTTTGGTGCCTTGCTTCCAGGTCTGGGCAGTGCCTGAAGCTGGCCTCGTTCGGTCCTTGAGCGATCCTCTGGTGACCCTCGAAGGCCACTCCAAGCGGGTGGGGATTGTCACGTGGCACCCGACGGCGCAGAACCTCCTGCTGAGCGCAGGTAACGAGCGGCAGGTGCGCGGCGGGCTCACGGAGGCGGCGCACTCGCAATCTGGCTGGCGCGCAACCCTCTCTCCCTTCCATTGCCGGTCCTTTGTTATCGATGGCCTTTCTCTCTTTTGCAGGCTGTGACAATGCAGTGACAGTCTGGGACGTGGGGGTCGGGCAGGCGGCCCTCTCCATGGACGAGATGCACCCAGACGCCATCTACAGCGCGGCCTGGAACCAGGACGGGTCGCTGCTGTGCACGGCCTGCCGGGACAAACGCGTCCGGGTGTTTGACCCGCGAGCGGGAGGCGCCGTTGCCAATGTAAGTATGAACTGCAAGCTGGGGAAGTCTGTGTCCTGTGGCAGCAGGAGGGGCAAATCTAGATCAGTATACAAGACCAAGTGAATAATTCCCTAAGCCAAGCTAAAGGGTCCCTCCATCCCAGAATTTGATCTGTCAACAGCAGAATCCCACAAGGCAGGGCCAGATGAAGTTAGCTGCCCCCTGTTGCTTGATCTGGGAACCAGAGGTCCCACAGCTTATATCAGGCTTCCTCACACTCGGCCCTCCAGATGTTTTTGGCCTCCCATGATCCCTAGCTAGAAGGACCAGTGGTCAGGGATGATGGGAATTGTAGTCTCAAAACATCTGGAGGGCCAAGTTTGAGGAAGCCTGGCTTATATGCAGGCTTCATTCTTAACTCCCACACAGAATACATTTTTTTTGCTGTTAACAGCTTTTTATTGAATTTTCCAAAAAGAAGTGATAACAAATACAGTCGATACAAGCTAAATAATAATACCGTATTGCCCCAAATATAAGCCGCTCCCTTAAAATTCCGCAGGCACTCATACCCGTTCCGTTTTACCGTATGTCTGTTTCAGCAGCGATATCGTAAAAGGTCGTGAATTTAAGCTGCACTTTAACTTTTCATGGTTAGAATTTGGGGGGAAAGTGAGGCTTATATTCAGGCCAATACGGTAAATCAATACTAGTCTAACCCCTTGCAATATCATATATAATACTTACAGTGATCTTGATTTTCCAATGCCACTCCAACAGCACCACCCATGCATAAGAGGGAGCTTGCAGTAGTGGGGGGGGGGGTGGATGTTTGCAGAAGTACAAAAAAACCCACCTTTACGGAAATACATCCGAAACACTCCCCTGTCCCAGGTAGTGTAATTAGGACTGAGCATGCTCAGTGGGCATGGAATGCTCCACTTTGTCAAAGCTTATTGGCCACCTATAGAAACATCACCCACGACTCTGCCTCGTGCTTTAAGAGAGGGGGGGGGGGAAACAATCTTGGATTGCAGCTGTTGCAACATCTTCCATGACCATAAATTGATTAAACTGGGTGAGATGCTTCATCGGGTATCTGGTGCCAACCCATTTAACTGGAGAGTCCTGAATCTGTAAAGCTGTGAGCATCAGGCATGGTGGGGAGGAAATGCAGCCCGTCTCCCTAGCGAGTGGCACTTTATAGGTGTGGGCGGAGCCTACCTGGAATAGCTGTGGCTAAAGTCTTGGCTGTATCTGATGCTTCCTCCTGCCTCCTCTTCCCACCACAGGAGCTGCCCCGCCCCCACGAGGGCTCGCGTCCTGTCCGGGCGATTACTGTGAACGATGGAAAGCTCTTCACAACGGGCTTCAGCCGCATGAGTGAGCGTCAAGTGGCGCTGTGGGACCTGGTGAGAAGAAAGGAGGGTTGTCCTCTCCGATTGTCAGGATACGTACCTTTCGTTGCCGTAATGGAGAAGGGGAAACCCACCCCTGCTTCAAGGGAGGCTTGCTAATAAAAGGATATATATTGTTGGGGCACCTGTGCCCTCCTCCTCTACATAATTAAACAAAGAAAACCTTTTGAAAGACAAGTAGTACACATTTCAGATTCCAAAAGAGTAGTAGGCATGTTGGTTTGTTGCAGTGAAAACGACGAGGTGTCTTGTGGCACCTTAAGGCCACTAACAGCCTTTAAGCTTTCGTTGACGTCAGTCCCCACAGATGCAGTGACAAATTAGCACTCAGAAACACACATACACACACACATGATTGGGGGAATTGCGTGTGTTATCACAGGTACTCTAGTTATTGCTCATTAACTTTCTTTTGAACAAGATTTTTGAATAACGTAGCATTTATATTCCACTTTTGTTTGCTCATGAAGCATGTAGCTCCCCTTAATTTTGTCAGCGGTTCTGACAAAAATCTCTGTAAAACAGACCAGCTGTTATGCCCACATTACAGACTGAGTGTTGGTACTGAGGCTGCTCACCTAAAACTGCCTTCCTCTGCTGGAGATGTGGTCTCCTAATTCAGAGTTCAGTCTCTTCAGTGCTATTTTTCTGGAAAAAGAGGTGCCGGAACTCACCATGAAAGCTTATCCTCTTTTCTTTCTTTTTTCCAATTTTTTTTATTGATTTTCCAAATTTATAACAAACATAAACAAAAACAAAAGAAAAAAACATTACAATATAAAAAACATACAAACGTTAATCCTAACTATTATAATCCCATTTTTGTTACCATTGTTAGATGACTTCCTCAAATCCCTCTAGCTGAGTTTCCACATGACTCATTGTAGCAGTTGTCCAATACTAATTTCCAATGAAATTAACTTAGTCAATTAACATCTTTCTTTCTTATCATATTCATTTCTATCCATAGTATTATGCAATTTAAAACATTTAACTCCTAAGCCAATTTGGTATTCACAAATAGTGCTACTTATATTATCTTAGAATATTTTACTCAATAATCCTTAAATTTCTTCCATTCTTCTTGGTACTCCTCCTCTTTCTGTTCGCGGATTCTTCCAGTCAGGTCGGCCAGCTCCAAAAAGTCCATCATGATTGCTTATTCTCTTATAATGGCAATGGCACCCACCTGAGAGGTGCTGGAACTGAGTTCTGGCTGGGAAAAAGCCCTGAGTCTCTTGGCTACTGTGCTATGAGCCTGCAACCATCTCCAATCTAGTCCTCCTCAGTGTAGGCCTACCGAAGTCAATACACGTGGCTAACTTATGTCCCTTAATCTCAGTGAGTAGAGCCTTGCTGGATAAAACCCCATGTTTTGTGGTTCGAGAACCCCTTCTTCCTGCGATGGGGATACCTACCACATGAGAATATATGCTTCTCCTGCATAAGCAGAATTGCCTTCAACTTGGGATTTCTAGTTTCTCTTCTTCTTTGGACTCTCAGTCCCACCCACTTAAATTTAACTTGCTATCTCACTTTTACTCTGCAGAGGAAACCTGAGGAGCCATTAACCCTCCAGGAGCTAGACACAAGCAGCGGAGTCCTTCTGCCTTACTATGATCCAGACACCAACGTGGTTTACCTGACCGGCAAGGTGAGTCCTGGATGGACGGGGCTGTCGGTGTTTGGAAGCAGAACTCCGGAGGAGCTGTTCACGATTTCTGTGATGCTAATCGAGGGGGTTGTGGTGATCTGAGGGAAGAGAGCAGGGGAGAGCTTGAAACTGACATTTCAAGAGAGGACGAGGGGAACAGAAACTTCTTCTGAAGAGAGGGCAGAATTTCGCATCCTTCCCTGGAATTGTTAGAAGTGTGTCTCAGCTCACAGTGAGGAAGAGGGGTTTTTACAGTTGGGAAAGCTCTGGAATGATGACGATGAATCAAACTCTTGTGTTTACCTGCGTTGTTGCAGGGAGACAGCAGCATCCGTTACTTTGAGCTCACGGGGGAGGCGCCCTTTGTGCACTACTTATCCATGTTCACCTCCAAGGAGTCGCAGCGAGGAGGAGGCTGGATGCCCAAGCGAGGCTTGGATGTCAGCAAGTGCGAGATTGCCAGGTATTTTGTGAACGCTTTCATGTTTCTTCCCCTTCCCATCCCTGCACCCAAAGGAGGGCATTCCTGGTCCCTTTCCTCCTGCCTCAATTTATTCCCCCAGCACCCCTGCCAGGTAAACTTAGCTGCCCCGTTGGATTCTATTTGTTGATGGACTGCCACTCCCATCACCCCTGACCATCGGCCATGCTGGCTTGGGGCTGATGGGAGCTGGAGTCCAGCAACATCCACAGGGACACAGGTTATCCATTCCTGGGCTAAGAAATAGTAACTGGCCCAGTGAGCTTCATAGTTGGGTGGTGATTTGAACCCCCATTTTGCTAGTCCTGGTCTGAAACACCAATCCGCCCTCCCTCCAGATGTTTAGGACTACAACTCCCATCAGCCCAGCCAGTACCATGTTGGGTCAATGATTCTCTAACCACTGCACCGCCCTGCCTCCCTGATCAAGGCAAAAACAAAACATCTAGGATTCTTTGGCTTTCGTTTAGGGGCATTCGTCTCCCTCCCCTCCAAGGCTTATCCTTACTAGAAGTGTTTCTTGCCTCTCCCAGGTTTTACAAGCTCCACGAGAGGAAATGTGAACCCATTGCAATGACTGTGCCTCGGAAGGTAAGCTGAGATTCCCGGGTTCTGTAAATCGTGGAGGATGGGGAGTTCCACAGTGTGTCTTTGCAGAAACTCGACTTCTGTTTAAAGGCAAAATTTGCATTTCTTGCTCCACCCACTTTTGTCTCTGGCCCCTCCCCCCTCTAGCATGCGGCTCTTCAAAGGCTTCCCAGAAGGGAATGTGGCCCCTAAATAATTCTCTGGCCTTGTTCTATGTAATTGAGGCATCCATTTTACCCTCTTGACATTTGAGTTTGGATTTGTTGTTCTCAACTTTTCATAAACCACTTGGGGGTTTTTCCTTTTCTTTCAAGCGGTATGTAAATGCCATGGAATAAATAAAAATAAATGAAGTTTGGAGGGACTTTTTCAGGAAATCCTTGACAGAAGGGTGGACAGAAGCCCGGGAGGAGTCCTCCTGAGGAAGAGGAACTGCTGCTCTCTTTCCCCAATAACAGAGTGGGAGGTCCCTTTTAGATCTATCTGCCCCTTCTGTTCAGCCTGTGTCTTTGTGTGCCTTCTCTGCAGTCAGACTTGTTCCAAGAGGACCTGTATCCTGACACAGCTGGCCCAGATGCTGCCCTGACTTCCCAAGAGTGGCTGTCGGGGAAGAACGCCAGCCCCATTCTCATCTCCCTCAAGGACGGCTACACGCCCCAGAAGACCAGAGAGTTCAAGGTCAACCAGACCCTCCTTCAAGGGCCCAAAAGAAGCCAACATTCCCACGAAGGGACAGCGCCAGGGGTAAGAAGGGGAGAGAGCCCAAGATCTAGATTATGGGCCACCACCAGAACTGGGCCAGTGGGTCTGGGCCGAGGGTCATCAGAATAAGGGTCAGAGTCAGAGCTGGAAGAACCGGTTGCTGTGGGTCAGAACTGAAGCTTGCCTTGTGTTTTCCCACAGAGTCCAGCTCTGGAGCAGCTCTCGGAGGACCTGAAGCGGCTTCAAGCCACTGTCTCAGAACAGGAACGGCGCATCTCAGAGCTGGAGCAGATTGTGAAGAAATAGCACCCGCCCTTCCACTAGCCACCCAACCAATAGCTGTTCTCCATCGGTCATACTGGACTTTGTTTCATTGGTCTTTTTTAAACCCTTCAGTTTTTAAATGGGTGGATCCTCAGGGCATTATTAAGCACCACCCACCCCCAAACTCAGGGCAGAAAGTCAGCCTGCCAGCTCCAAATGGGCTTTGCTTTTGGCTAGCCAGGTTCCACCTGCTGCCTTCATTCTGCCTGGGCAGCACTAAGCTCACCCTCTTGCCAAGTTCTTGCACGCCAGTCGCCTCTCTGCCCCACGGCCTGCCGGCGTCCTTCTCCGCATTGCCTCCCAGCTCCCAGATTAGCTGCATGGCACCGCCTCCATCTTGCTGCCTCCTCTGAGAAAACTTTACCCACCTTCAGGATTTTTGTAGAAGTGCTGTAAGGACCATCTTCCTGCAGTGGTTTTGTCTCACGTTTTAACCAGGGCTGCAATGTTTCACTGACAATCAGTTGAACATTTTGGTTAACTAGGCCGGGGTACATTTCTATTGGCCAGCAACTTGCAGAGGGTGGGGTGAGTAAGTACTTCTTTTTAAAAAGCAGGTAGCAAGGGCTCTCTTAGAAGACAAATTCCCTCCTATGTGTGAGAAGGGAAATATCTTTTTAAGATGTATGCTGCAACAACCGCAAGTGTGCATTACCTAATAAAGTACGCTTGTTTCTTTAGAAGTATTGTCATATGCAAGTTTATATGAATATTAGTCAAAACTCACGACGATCAATCAAGTTTTCTTATATTGTGTGGCAGTACTAGTGGAGTTTGCCTAGTACTCATTTTTAACCTCTTCTTAAACATCACGGACACCTCCTCCAGAAAGGTGGGCTAGAATTTAATACCAAGTGGCCTGACCTCCCCGTCCCCTCAGTCCAGAATGCAATCAGATAATACAAGCTCATCTTTTAAGCACCCAGAGGACAGCAAACACAATCAAAACCCTACTATTCCCATTTTTTTGTCATAGGAGTACGTACAGCCAGTCACACCAAACCGTATTTCTACAGTTGTTTTGTTTAACCACTAGAGGGCAGCATAAGAGGGGTTCCCAAACTGCAGTCCCTAGCACAAGACATTACAATTGCTACAACAGGTGGAAATTTCGTTAAGTGGTCCACCAAGAGCCTCAGCAATTTTCAAGTGGTTGGGAAAGTTTGGGAATTACTGTTTTACACCCAGCTGCCCTCCTCTCTCTGTCTCCCTAGCTCAGTAAGTAGAGCATGAGACTCTTAATCTCAGGGTTGTGAGTTTGAGCCCCATGTTGAGCAAAAGATTCCTGCATTGCAGGGGGTTGGGCTAGATGACCCTTGAGGTCCCTTCTATCTCCTGGGACTTTAAAATCTTACTCTATATTCGCAAGAACAATCCCACCTCATTTACCGCTTCTTTAAGGGCCAAGACTTCTTTTAACAATCAATGGCAGGTGGGTGGGAGAGAAAGAGAAGAGATCAAGCAATGATCTCCTGCCAACAAAAACAAAGTGTTAGTTTGCACACTTACTAAAAAATGTAGCTGGATCCTTTTCACCCACAGGTAAAGGAAAAAAATTACTTAGTGCCCCATTCCCTTTGCCCCCCCCCCAAAAATCTGAAACACGCAGAACAGGAAGGTATTGTCAAAGCAGAAGTGGAAAACCTATGAGCCTCCATGTTGCTGAACTCCAACTCCCATCAGCTCTTGCCAGGATGTCCAATGGCCAGGGATGATGGGATTTGTAATCCAGCAACACCTGGAGGGTCACACGTTCCCTATCCTTGTTTAGAGAATTTGGCTTCAGAGATGCTCAGAGCAGAGTCCGACAGGTAGGAATGATTAATATAACACACAAGGAAACTGGTTTTACATTTTATTTTCTGCTACATGCTCTTCCAAGTCCTCCTAGTATTCCCACTGGAGAGACCAGGGTGGGTCCCACACCTGCATATGTTTGCTCCACAGCTGCCTCTCCCATTCCCTTGGGGGTTTGTTTTGGTCTCTGGGCTGCCGCCGCCTTCTTTCCCAGGGCAGAGGAGCTCCTCTCTCACTTAGCTTCTTGTTCTTTCGCCCACTGCTCTGGCGTTAGCGTTCTCTGCTCAAAGGCGTGAATGTGCTTCAACTCCTCCACTAAGACTTCATTGACCAGCCTAGGGAAGGTGGGGAGAGGAGATGGAAATAGGCAAAAATCCAAGGGCATTCTTGCTTCTAGACTGCATCTTAGTCATGTAAGTTTTTAAATTACCACTCTGGCCATTTTTAGCTACCAGCAACAACTTCTAACGCACACAATCAAACCAATTAATTCAAGAAGTCAATGGTGTGGTGTGGAAACTGTTTCACCACTCTTCTCTGTGAAAATTTTTGACATTTCCAAAAATGAATGGCTGCAGATGTGATTAGTAGTGTGGGGAATCCGTACAATACCAGTCAAATTGGTTGGCTTCAAAGTCGTAATTAACTTTTTCATACCACTATACAATGAAACATCTGTATCTAATACGCAGCACTTTGGGCTGTTAGTATGTTAGTTTTCAGTGCCTTCATTTCCCCCATCCCTAAAATTTAAACAATGTAAGGGAAGTCTATGCTATTGAATTGTTATGTCTGAACATTTGCAAGTACTCCAATAAATAAAATTTCCAAGTAAAGCTTTCAGTCTGTTTGAATAAAACATTCAAGTAACACTGGGGGGGGGGGGGAATCAATAATACATACAATCATTGAAGTGCTTTTGGAAGAGAAAATTATACCACATGTAAGCCTAACATGACATGCATATTTAGTTTTGTTTATTAAATACAACTCAAATGGCTAACTCCAGATAAGAGCCCCCTCTACTTAAGGCATTTTATTGATTCCAAGTTTTCCAGAAAATAATCACTGACCATGTTTTTATGGACAAAGTTTGTAAAACATTTCCTGAGTCTTGCATATTTATAAAGTGCTATTTGGTTTAACGTAATTAAACCTTAGGCAGCTCTGATTTAGCCACTTTGATCACATGAATGAAAAATCAGAAAATCAATTTAATAAATTCCAAGGATACGGAAAATGTCAGTGAGTGTGTTTTTGAGATATACACAATTCATTGTGAACGCAATGGAATTTTGTTAAAGTGCAGTGTGTTAAGTGATATAGGCAAGGGTGTAATGAGCCTGGTGTAAGAGCTAAGAGTGTTGGACTAGGACAGTGATGGCTAAACTTGGCCCTCCAGTTGTTTTGGGACTACAATTCCCATCATCCCTGACCACTAGTTCTGTTAGCTAGGGATGATGGGAGTTGTAGTCAAAAACAGCTGGAGGGCCATGTTTGGCCATCATTGGACTAGGAGAAGACCCAGATTCAAAAATCTGCTGTGCCATGAAGCTCACGGAATGACCTTGGGCCAGTCACTCTCAGCCTAACCCTCCTTCACATGGTTGTTGTGAAAGTAAAATCAGGCAAGGGGCATGTGATCCACCTTGAGGTCCCTGTAGCAAAGGTGGGATAGAAATGTAAGTAAATGCAAGAATGAAACAATCATGGAAGGGAGAAGTTGCTGGGTAAGGAACGGCACATGAAGCTGTAGCACTGACAAGAGCGGGTGAGAGATACAAAGAATACTTTATTTGGGAGTATTTTGACTCAAGAATCTGAGTCTTTAAAGAGACACTGCCAACCAGTGAGAGGAGAAGAGAGTCCCCCTAGCTATGCTAACTCATCCTCTTCCTACTTACCGATGCCGCTGCAACAGGGCTTTTCCTCGGAATCGTGGGGAAACTACCAGGACTTTGAAGCTTGTGGCACAGCGTCCAGGGGTTGTGTCTTCCACTTCCTTGTGTAATTGGATGAGGAAAAGGTTGATTGATACAGAGTTTAGAAGAGGAGTCAATGCAGGCCACCCCTCCCCTTGCAAATTCATTTCAGGGTAAGGTACCTGCATGTCGTGAAAATACAAAGCAAGCCAAGTACCAAGGTGTGTGCATAATGCGTACCAAGGTGTGCAACAGAAACAGTGATGGTCCACTCCTTACTAAGAAGGGTACACCCACTTCTCTTAATCTTACTACAGAACCACCCAAAGTTGGTCAAGGGTGCAATCCTAGGTACACTTATAGAAAGCAAACCCCAGCAAGCTCAGTGGAAAGCACTTAGGAATAGCAGACAATGCTTATGACAAGGCTAAAAGGTGTCCCACGGGTCCTAGAGTATAGGTGATAGTCGTTCTGGTTTGATCTCATTTTAGACAAAATTTAATATCTATCAGATGCATTACTTATCTCTCTCCTTGCACTCCTCCCAATATTTTAATTGCCAAGATTTGCAGCTGACAGCTAACTAGTGTGAGGCTATATTTCTGTGCACACTTTCCTCGGAGTAAGCTCACTAAACACAGCAGCCCTTCCTTCCGAGCAAACCCGGACCAGGCTGGCGCTGGGAGAGAATAAAGTGCGTCCAGGAGCCACGCAGGGAAAGGAGACAGACTGGCTCTTCCAACAAAGGAAGCGGCGGCTTCTTTTTCAGAGAAAGAGGGGCGGGTCAAAGATCCCTGGGGGGCTGCCTCGCTTACCACGTGCTCGGCCTCGAGCCCCTGGAGCAGCCGCTCCCGCAAGGCCTCCACGCTGAGAGCGCCAGACGCCTCCATCCTGCCCAGGGAAGCGCCTGAGATGAAAGAGAACCCCCAAACGCCCCACTTCCGCCTATGGCTTACGTCACATCCGCCCCATGTCTCTTCTAACCAATCACATCGACCTAAAGTCGTGCGTGCCTGCATCACTTCCGCGTAATTTATCTTACCGTAGAGAAAGAAAAAATTAGAGCTGCCCCACCGCCGTAGTCTTTTTTTGGGGGGGGGGGAATTGAATTAACTTTCTCTTCTAAATTTGAATGCAAAGTATATATCGATATTATTATCACCTTACAAAAAAGAAGAAATGAGGAATAGAGTGACATCACCCTGAGCCTATCGCAGGCTTAGGCTGCAATCCTATGCCTGTGACTCAGACGCATTGAAGTAATTGGGGCTTGCTTCTGTGTAGATGTGCAGAGGAATGAACTAGAGACATATAAAACCGCCTCCATGTTTGACACCGCTTCGTTAAAATATTCAGAAACGTTTATCTGAGTGTTTATTTTTTTTTGTAATTGTTGCAAGCCATTTTCTCAAATGTAAACAAAGATATATCTTAGTGCAACCCTGTTAAACAGCTTAAAGATGAAAATGAAGAAAAACTACGTTACGAAAAAGCGCCTTTAGGTAGAATTATGGACTTTAAAAAAATGTTTTCGGCTACTCTTTGACACTAGTTCCGATTAGAGCTCTTGAAGATTTTCTTAATAAGTCTATGCTCCCTGCACACCCCGTGACGTCACCCGCTCCTCTCGCGGGAGGTTGCCCACGTGGGCGGGGCATGTCTTCGCCGCAGCCAATAGAATGCAAAAGAAACGGTTAGCCGGAGCTAAGGTGCAAGGTTGACGGGTAGCAAGCGGACCGAGTTGGGGACAGAAAAGTGGGATGCGGAGCATGATGGGAAACTGCGGATGGGCTCAGGCGGAGCATGATGGGAAAGGGAGGGGCCTCTGTTTGAAAGGCGCAGGGCATGATGGGAAATGCGAAAGCAAGAGCTATATTCCGGTAGTGCTGTATGGCAGGCAGAGGTTCAATAGGTGCAGCTCTCCCTTCTATGGCAATAAAGAACCCTTGCTGGGCCGTTCTTCCTCCAAGAACTGTGTTGACAAGCAGCAGCCCAACATGTCCAGGTCTCCCCTCCATGGAGAGGCAGTGATGCTGGATTTCTGCCCTGCACGCATCTCTTGAAAAGGAGCCCTGCCAGGAGAAGAGGCGGCAGCCCTATGCTGAGCGGCGTGGAAAACGGGAAGGCATCGGAGCAAAGGAAGGGCTGAGGTGAGAGAGGAACAACAGGTACCGCTAGAAGAGTGCGGGACTCTTCGCCTAACGCTTGCTTTCTCCTTCCTTGTAGGTCTCCTTGGACGTGCCTGAGCCCTCGGCGGTCGCCATGGTGGTGGAAGTGTGCAACTTCTTCGGGGTCTACCTTCTGTACTGCACCAACCCTCGTTACCATGGCCGAGTCTACGTCGGCTTCACTGTCAATCCCGAGCGACGCATCAATCAGCACAATGGCGGGAAGCGACGCGGTGGGGCTTGGAAGACGAGCGGCCGTGGTCCTTGGTAATGCATAACAGCCGTATTATTCCCATAGCTGTCAACTTTCCCCTTTTCTTGTGATGAATCCTATTCGGAATAAGGGAATGTCCCTTAGAAACAGGGGAAAGTTGACAGCTATGGTTATTCCAAGTCAGACCTTTGGCCTATTCAGCTCAGTAGTTGTTGACCACTGACTGGCCGCACCTCTCCAGGGTTTATACTTAGTGAATGGAGGGGGGCTTTCCCTGGCCAGCCTTAACTCGACATATCAGAAATTGAACTTGGGATTTTCTGCCTGTAAAGCACATATTCTACTACTGAGCTGTGACTTTCAAATTTTCCTTTTCTGTCTATGTCTTCCATCTAAGTATGTCCATTTTCTAGGCCAACCATTCTAAGGAGACTTCAGTGCATACTGCGAACTAGACTTTCTAGGCTGTGCATGCTGGGAAATCAAATTTTCCTTCCTTTCTCCTTGCAGGGACATGGTGCTGATCATCCACGGTTTCCCTTCTGATGTGGCTGCTCTGCGGGTAAGGCCCTTCTCAATTTCCGCTCACCTTCCTTTTCCTTTTTAGCAGTGGGGTTCCTTTCCCCACAACTGCTAGTCCCCCACAAACCTAAGCAATCTCCTTTGATTTCCTCTCTCTTCCACACAGTTTGAGTGGGCTTGGCAGCATCCGCACTCCTCCCGCCGCCTCACTCACGTGACCCGCCGCACTTCGCGGGAGCGTCAGTTTGACTTCCACCTGCGTGTCTTAGCCCACATGCTCCAAACTGCTCCTTGGTGCCGTCTGCCCCTCACCATTCGCTGGCTCAAGCAGGAATATTGCAGGGACTTCCCTGCAGGCCTGGAACCTCCGCTACACATGCCGGTGGCTTTTGGGCAGGTCCGAGCTGTCAAGACCAAGGGGGTGAAACCTTCAGAGGTGAATGTGGCTACTCCAAAACGCTGCAGCATCTGTCTGAAAAAATTCCAGGTAATGCTGGGTCTAGGATATTTGGTATCCTACCCACCTATCTTCATGGACTGGCTGGATGCAGAGGAGTGGCATTAGCTGGGGAAGGGAAGAAGGCTCAGAGCCCGGGGAGTGGTGGTGCGATGACTGTGAGTGGTCAGAGGGAGAAGAGGGAACAGACTGGGAGATGTCGGAAGCTGAAGAGGGAACAAGGCTTGGTGAGCAGGAAGAGGCTGTGGCAGAGAGCAGTCCAGAGGCAAAAGCAGAGAGGAGGCAGAGTGGTGGGGAGGCTGCTGAAGAAGCCAGGGAGTCTCCCCCTTTCTTCTGGTCTCCCAGAACATGGAGATGAATGAAGAGGGTGGAGCAAAGAGAGACAAGACCAAGGAGCCTCAGGTTCCTGGGGAAGGACCTGCGGTCAAAGCCTTAGAGAGCGGTGGGGAGGCAGGGACCTGCAGTCCTCACAATTGCCTCCTTGAGGCAAGACCTACTGGGAAGAGTTGCTGTGATCACTAGGCCTGCATTGTTTTGGGTTTTTTTGGATAAAGAGTTAACTACATTGACACCAGATGTTCTATTGCTGGCCCGCCCCTGACTCCATCTCCTGACACCTGTCAAAGTTGGGCCGCAGGGGTAGGGGAACAGAGAAAGATCAGGGCTGAAAAGGTTCCCCGCCTCTCCTTTAGCAGGAGAATGGATTGGAGTGAGTGGGGCAGGGAAGGAGGGCTGGAAGCTGGCATTCCTGGATGGTTTGAGAGGTGAGATCTATGGAATGAGTGTCCGTTGCCAGACTTTTGAAATAATCTGGGGGAGATTTGAATTTGGGGCAATAGGAACTTGGAAGTCTGTCGGAGAATGCAAAAGCCCTACTAGACTAAGCCGAAGGTCCAGTCCTGTTCTCACAGTGGCCAACCAGATGCCTCTGGGAAGCCGAAAAGCAGGGCCTGAGCGCAGCAGCACTACTCTCCTCCCTGGTGATTCCCTGCAGGTAATACCCAGAGGCACCCTGCCTCTGACAGTAGGGGGGAAAACAGCCATTGCTGTACGCCTTTATGAGACAGGAATTGGTGCTGTTTCCTCCTGTGTCTGTTATTGGAGTAGGGATTAAGCTAGAAGGAGTTGAGGACTGTGTTTTGGATTTCTTTTTCCCCCTGCAGGATGGTGACAATGACATCCCCTTGCACTGCTTCCACCCTGGCTGCACCATGGCTGCTCATATGACTTGTTTGTCTCGGGCTTTTCTAGCGAAAGAGCCACTTCACTTCCTGCCAATCGAAGGGCAGTGCCCGGGGTAAGCAACTCCTCTTGCGCACCGGCAGAATTAAAAGAGGTTGGAGCAAGCTGACAGAATTTGAAATGCTGGCACTGAGCCTGCCCTATCCTGCTCCAGCTACCACACTGAGAAAATCCTGCTTTCTCCCCCTTTCCCCCAGCTGCAAGAATCTTGTGCTCTGGGGGGACCTGGTTCGTCACCATAAAGGCTGTTACGGCAACCTAGAAGCTGATCCCACCTCCTCCCAGGTAAAGGCCTCTAGGTGCTATTTCTATATTTGACTAGTTTGTGCTGGAAACTATATTGTGTTCAAGCAGATAGATTAGAGTTGCCATATTTCAAACAGTTAAAAATCTGGACATTTTAAAGTGTCTGCTATTTTTAAGGAAAATCTCCAAGAACGACACTGCTGACGTGGGTCACCATATGTCCAGATTTTACCAGGCATTTTAGCGATTTCCCCCCAGACACTGCTTCCGACTGCAGTATTCCGGTTATGTCCGGGAAATTCCGGCTATATGGAAACCCTAAGATAGATGTACAAGCCCATCCCTGTCCCGTATAAGCCTTTCTCCTCCAACCAGCTCCCTTTCCTTCCAATCAAGTTAATCTCCTGCCTATGCTACTTAAATTCTCCCTCTTTATTTGGTCACATCACCTCTGGCATAAGCCCCACCTGTTCCACTCCGCTATGTTGTTCCTTGCACGTTAATCCATTTCCTTCCTTTTATGCTGCAGGAGCACTGGACTAATGAGCTGCAGCTGTGAAGGAGGAGTCCTGTGCTTTTGCAAAAGCTGTCCATGGCTGACCTTTCGTCCTTTAGGGCAGCGGAAGAGCGCCCAGGAATTCCGACACTTTGTGTGACCCTTTTGAAAATCCCAGCATGCCCTATTCCTCTGCCCTGAATCAGCTCCTGTGTTTGCTTCTTCCCCGGCTGGAGCTGGGCTCTTTTAAGCTTCCAGCCCCAGAATCATGCAACTGACAAGTGAAATAATTAATTCTCCTAAGTGAAATGATCAAATAAAAGTACTGAAGGATTCAGCAGGATGTCTATGAAATAAGAAAAGCCGGGGTGGGAGAAATCAAGACTTGCAAGATGAATGGAAAGCTCCCGTCCTCCAGGATTTTCTGGCTGGGAACCACGGAGAGTGGATGTTCCAGTGCTCTGGGACAATGGTGGGAATTCTGCCACTGGCATTCAAAACATTGAAAGGGCAGAGCAGAGCAAATTGGGGCCAGAAGAGCAAGAAAAAGCACCCGAAGAACCGTAGTGGAGGGGAACCTGTGGCCTTTCGCGTGTTGCTGGAATACAGCTCCCACCATCTCTGCCCTTTGGCCATGCTGGCTGGGGCTGATGGCCAACGGAGTCCAACAACAGGCTCACAACTACTGCCCTGGAATGTGGTCAAAATTAGGACAATTTTATATCATGCCTATTGCACTGGCTGCTCATACAGAACAAGGAAATGGCATGTTTCTTGACCATTCATAAAATACAGTAGGTTCTTAAGGCAATAGTTGTACTTCATATTTGCATGAGTTTTTTCCTCTCTTTAAAGCACTTACAATTCCTCCCCTTAGGCTAGTATTATCCCTGAGAGGACTCAGTGAATAGTGGCACACCTAAAGCCACTAAGTGAATGAAATGAAAGTTCAGCCAGAGACTTCTCATGTCGAGGGTATATTTACTAATTCTTGAAGGCTGCTTTATAGAGGCCCAGTTCACATGTTAATGCGAAGCCAAACCAGGGCTTAGCCCCAGCAGTTGGCATGACCAGGGAGGAGAGCTGTGGCTTTGGTCTGGACATCTATGTGTTTGCATGTCTGCACTAAGTCATGGGCTTTGTGTTTTCAGAACAAGTAGGTCTTCCATTAAAATGTGATCTTCTCCCAGCATAATCAGAGTTCTCGATCTTAAAGAGACTAAAATAAAGCCCATATGGGGAACCAAGAGCATATACAAATGAGCCCCCCAGCAAACTTAAAAACCCTTAATTACCCATAATGACCATGTGAACAGATCTGCAAATGCTTAAGCCTGCGTCTATTTTGTGCTTTTTTAAACAAAAGATCCAAGATTGCACTTAGGAAAGCTCAGTTTCTCCCCCGCCGTAAACAACGTATTAAAAAATAATAATCTGTGCGCTTCTGCTCTGCTCTTTTAGGAATCGCAACCATTGATAGAACAGGACTATGAGAGCCTTGAATAGCAAGAGGCATCCTGCTTAGGGAACAACAGCAACTGTTGCCAGGTTTTATTAGAACCGACGTCTTGGTTTTTTAATGTTTGAATTTTTTTTGTAAGTGGTTTTTGTACCACATTTTGGGAAACTGGGGAATAAATTATTAAATAAATAGAAGCGCTGTTGATTTTCCATTTCTAGAGAGTTAAAAGTTAAAATATACCACCGACAGCCAAGTCAGTTACACCGTGCATTACTCGACCTGTAGGGGCACAATCGCTATCCTGCAATAAGTAGTAAGCTGTGCCAAGGAATCACAGCAGGGCCCTGTAAAGCGTTCAGCAACAAGAGCCATTGCCCAGAATGGGAGGCTGGGATGTTTCCTATTTCCCCATCCAGCCCTCCCTTTCCAACCTGGGCTGCCAAATTTTCAACCAGCCGCTGCACTTATAAGCCTTTAACAGCAGCATGATGTGTAGATATTCACAACTGGTAGTGTTATCCCCATGCTGAGAAACTGGTTGATTTTATGCACGTAGAGCCACTAATAAAGGCAGAAGAGCACATTTGGCCAGTGCTTTTCTTGGTCAGTTGGCAATCCTATTTCCAGCTCAAGGCCTGGAGTTTATACACGAGTTAGGCTGTACCCTATTTCCCCCCCGGGCTCCATTGCAGGCATCATTTTTGTGAGTCCAGCATGCTCCTCTGCTCCTGGAGCATATTTTGCCTTTTAAATGCTTAAGAACAAAACAAGCGCCTACTAAATCAGGCCAACAGCCAATCTCTCATCCTGTTCTCACAGTGGCCACCCAGATGCACGTGGGAAACCTGCAAAAGCACTCTTCCCTTCTGTGCCTTCCAGCTTTGGGCTGTTGCCACGATGCAAACGGTCAGTTTCAGGCATGGGTACAGCAAAGTGCTGAAAGTGTACTTCTGACTTGCCAAAGCTTGCTTGGATACAAAAACGTTGAGTGAGACGCTCAAAATTTGCAGTCCTCCCAGTGGCACCTGCTGGCTTGCGCTCAGAATCCTGCCCATGTCCTGATACATATTCTACCTCCAGCTCCAGCAAGTGATCCCATGATAACGTTAAATAAATAGATGAAACCTGACCCAGGGCTGCCTTTCTGGATCCGAATGACAATGGATAGTTTTCCTTTCTCTTAAGATGCTCCCCCAGTTTCACGACTTTGCCAAATGACAGAACAGATAGTACAGACCCTTCTCCCCCACCCCTCCCCACCCCCTGGAAGCTGCTTGCCCTCAGACATCCTTTGATCATCAGATTTGAGATGCACACAAGCAACAAAAGCTCTAGAAGCCACCCCTCTGCCAACAGCATAGCCTGCCTTCTGAGCCTCCCAGCGCAAACACCCGGCTGCAGCCTCTTCGCCTCTGGATACAGGAGTAAATTCCTTTGCTCTCTGCTCAAATCTGTCGCACCAACAGGAGACAGCAGGAACTTCGTCAAGACCTTCCTTGGCTGCAACAAAAGGAGAAGGTGTGTTATCGTAAGAAACCAGAAATTCAGCCCTTGTTTTCTTGTCAATTTGGTTCATAATGACAGCCAATGCAGTGTGGCGGTTGGGGTCAGACTAGGACCTGAGAGACCAGGGTTCAAATCCCCACTCAGCCATGAAGCTCCCTGGGTGACCTTGGGCCAGTCACTTACTCAGCCCATATAACAACAATTTATTTATACCCCGCCCATTTGGCTGGGTCTCCCCAGCCACCCTGGGTGGCTTCCAACAAAGTATTAAAATACAGTGGTCTGTTAAACATTAAAAGCTTCCCTAAACAGGGCTGCCTTCAGATGTCTTCTAAAAGTCTGGTAGTTGTTCTTCTCTTTGACATCTGGGGGGAGGGCATTCCACAGGGCGGGGGCCACTACCAAGAAGGCCCTCTGCCTGGTTCCCTGTAACTTGGCTTCTTGCAGCGAGGGAACCACCAGAAGGCCCTTGGCGCTGGACCTCAGTGTCCGGGCAGAACGATGGGGGTGGAGATGATCCTTCAGGTATACTGGACCGAGGCCGTTTAGGGCCTAACCTACCTCGCAAGGTTGTTGTGAGGAAAAAATGGAGATGGGGAGGGCTATGTACTTCCCATTGAGCTCCTTGGAGGAAAGGTGGGATAAATACATAGAAGCATAGAATTGAAAGGGACCACAAGGGTCAAACCTGCAATGCAGGAATCTTTTGCCCAACATGGGACCCGAACCCACAACCCTGAGATAAAGAGCCTCATGCTCTACCGACTGAGCTATCCCTAATTCAGGCTGAGTTTGAACGCAGAAATTATGGAACCGATGCTCCTGGGTTGCACCACTTCAGAATACAAAGGGAGGGGTGGCTTGAATGTTCGCCCCCATGTAAACAAGCACATACACTGCTGAACATAGGCTCTATCTGCACTATCAATTGATAGCAGTATCATGCCAGTAAAGTAACATGGCTTGCCCAAATGAAACCTGGGAACTGTAGTTTTTAAAAGGGTTTTCTTAGAGTTGTTAGATGAGGCCTGCTCCTCTCACGGGACTACAATTCCCAACACTCCCTGGGAAGAGGAAGCAACTGTTACGCCACTCTGGGAATTGCAGCTCTGTGAGGGGAACAGGGGTCGCCTAACAACCAACAGTCAAAACAGGTTTCTCAGTCCACCCTCTTCATGCGGCTCAGGACCACAATGCCTCAAGGACTGCCTCTCTCCATATGATCCTACTAGGACCCTGAAATCATCTTCTGAGGCCCTTTTTCGTGTGTCTCCTCCATAAAAGTCTGGAGGGTGGCAATATGAGAACCGGTCTTTTCTGCAGTGGCCCCACATTTGTGCGATGCTCTCACCAGGGAGGTTCGGCTGGTGCCTTCATTATACAGTGGTACCTCGGGTTAAGAACTTAATTCGTTCTGGAGGTCCGTTCTTAACCTGAAACTGTTCTTAACCTGAAGCACCACTTTAGCTAATGGGGCCTCCCACTGCCGCCGCACCACCGCTGCACGATTTCTGTTCTCATCCTGAAGCAAAGTTCTTAACTTGAGGTACTATTTCTGGGTTAGCGGAGTCTGTAACGTGAAGCATCTGTAACCCGAGGTACCACCGTACACCTTTAGGTGCCAGGCAAAAACATTCCTCTTCCACCAGGTCTTTGGCTGATTGACATCAATGCCTTTGGCATTGTGGGTGGGGGGGATTATTGGGCTGTTGTATTTTGTGTTTTTTATATTGTACTTTTATGTTGTGAACTGCCCTGTGATCTACAGATAAAGGGTGGTATAAAAACAACAACAAATGCTTCCTTTCTACTGGCACACCCCCCACCCTCACAAGATGCGGCTAACGGGCAAGCCAGAGTCGGCAGAGGAGAGGAACGGAAGGCAGCTCCTACCACGAATGGCGCCTCTGGTGGTTCACGACGTGCGACCTCCGCGTGAATCTCTTCCCGCAGTAAGCGCACTGGTGGGGCTTCTCCCCCGAGTGGACGAGGAGGTGCTTCGTGAGGGTCGTGTTCCTGTTGAAGCTGTTCCCGCATTCCGGGCACTGGTAGGGCTTCTCGCCCGTGTGGATCCTCTCGTGCCGAATGAGGTCCCACCTCTTGCGGAACCTCTTCCCGCACTCCTTGCACAGGTGGCGCTTTGCTTCCGGGTCGGCGAGGACTCCTCTGAGCCCCCTGTCCTTGATGACCCGGACCGAGAGGCAGCCCCCCTTCTGCTGCAGCCCCACGCCACGCTCGCTCCCGTGCGGCCTTCTAGGGTCTCCTCTGGGGAAAACAGCCTCCCCGAATCCTCCCGGAGCTCTCCTTCCCGGCTCCTCCACTGCAGGCTGGTGTAGCTCCTTGGCCACAGTTCTGCTTGCAAAGTAGCTTTCTGTTGGGAGAAAAGAGAGAGGGGCGTTTGGGGTGGAGGCACCAAGATGCCATGCTCTGCATGCCAGTGAATTGGGCTCAGTCCTGGGCATCTCCGGTAACAAGAAAGGAGGGCAAGCAGAGCTCCTGGGAACTGCAGTTTGTTAAAGGGCGCTGTATCGCAGAAACCTAACCCTACAAAAATGGAAAAGCCATCCTTCTGCAACTTCCCTGTTGCAATTACCTTGCAAGCTGTTATCCTCGTCAGCTGGTTTGGTTTCCCTGCGAAGATGTCTCTGTGTCGAGTCCGACAGGTCTACAATGGGGGAGTTTACAATAACCATCTCAATCGGCACCGTTATCTGAAAGGAACAGAACGGGAAACGGTTGAATTTAGGTTGCGCAGAACAAGAAGCCCCGACAATAACGGACTGGCATTACAAGCTACAAGAATTTGCTGAAATGCCACAGTTAACAAATACCCTAAGAGGCAACTCAAAACAGAAATTTATGGAAAAGTGGGATAGATATAAAACATATGTTCAAAAATACAGTAAAGGTTCACTATCTATGCTGGCATTTGATTGACGTTGGAGTGAGACTGAGTTGAGAAATAAGACTAAGAGCACATATTGACATAGGAATGTATTAGATAATATGTAAAGAAATATATAATAATAAGAGTACATTCATTTGTAAAAAAGGAATATACAACGGGAAAGACAAGAAGTCTAGTGTGTTGGTATGTATATGATTTTTGGAATAAATTGTTTTTTTTCCCCTTTGTTCTTTCTTTCTTCTTTTGTTTGTTTCATTTTCTTTTTAGGTATATAAAATCTGTATATAATTTTTGTATACATGTTGGAAATTATATTATAGTAAGTCCTGTAATGTAATATGACAATGTTTACCGATGAAATATAAGAATGTTAATAAATAAATAAAATGGGGGGGGAATTAGATTGTGCAGAAACTGATGCCGTGTGACACCCATAGAAGCTCAGTTTCTGTATTCAACAAGTCAGGTTTCTAGCCATTATGGGTGCACAAAGATAAGTTTCAATTGCGTCGGTTTGAAATGAAATGTTTTGCCAGAAGAAAAATGAAAGTGTGGTCAAGACTCCCCGTGGCCAAGTGACGAGATTCCCCATACAAATGTTGACAGTGACCGCAATGTACAGTTATGGGAGAAAGGAAGGATATATAATAACAATAACAATAACAATAACAATAATATAATACCATCTGAAGGATGTGAATATAATACCATCTGAAGGATGTGAATAGATAAGTGCTAGCAGCCAGGGTGCATACAGATTACACAGAGCTTTCTCAATCAGAGCAGAAACACAGCCTTGTAGGGAATGAAACCAGAAAAGAGCTGCCATCTCTGTGCCTCAAGAGGCTGGCAGCGTGTGATGCAATCACCACAGCTAGTATACGAACAGTTTGTTGACAAGCTCCCCCCCCGCCCCAATTCTGTGGTGAGGAATAACCTTCCCACTTTCAGATGAAACCACAGCCCACTTTGTGTTGGCCACATGGGGCTACAACGGATTTTTAATTGGTCTCCTGTGCATCCAACACATACAATCTACACTGCTTTTAGAGGCAAAATTTTCAATATCTGCTGTTACTCGATAGTTTGTAGGTACTTTTCCCCCAGTACATATACAGTGGAACCTCAGTTGTTGAATGCTTTGGAAGTCTAATGTTTCAGCTTTCGAACGCCGACAACCCGAAAGTGAATGCTTTTGTTTTCGAATGCACCTCAGAAGTCAAACGGCTTTCAAGGGGCGTTTTTCCATTTTCTCCAATGGATTTTGCTGACAGCCCATTGCGCCTCAGTTGTCGAACGTTTCGGAAGTCAAACAGTCTTCCAGAACGGATTATGGACAACTGAGGTTCCACTGTATTCAGGGAAAGATGGAATCTGCCAGGACAGTTCTCAAGATAACTTGCACCCTTGCGTCAATTTTTCACACTGTTCTTGCTGATTATACCCCTAGCGATATGTCCCCACCCTTTCTGCTAGACAGAATTCAATTTCCTGTTTGCAAACCCATGAAACCCTCTCAGCACCCCCAGAAAAGACCAGGGCCAATTATGTCCCATACCTGTTGGGCCCATCTCTCAGTCTCCTGCTGCTCCTGCAAAAACTCCTCAGCCAGAGCCACGGCCCGGTCGCAGGTCTCAGGCCCACGTTCCCTGATCCAGTCTTGCATTTCCTGCGGCAGGATGACAAGGAACTGCTCCAAGATCAGCAGGTCCAAGATCTGCTCCTTGGTCTGGCTCTCGGGCCTCAGCCAACGGTGGCAAAGCTCCTGGAGCTGCTGGCACGTTCCTCGTGGCCCCTCGGCGTCCTGGTAACAGAAGTGCCGAAAGCCTTGGCGATGGGCCTCTGTGGCCATGTAGCTGTCCAGCCTCAAAATGGCCACCTTCACCTTCCCATAGTCGCCTTTGTCTTTCGCATCCAAACCAAAATAGGCCTGCTGGGCTTGGCCACTGAGGACGGGCACAAGCCGAGTTACCCACTCCTCTCTAGGCCACTGAGAAGCATCGGCCACTCGCTCAAAGGTGGCCAGGTAGGCCTCGGTGTTGCCCCCCTGGGACAGAGGAGGCAACTGTGGGTTGTCCCGCCCTGAGGCCGCCACTGGAGTGGGCACCACCTCCAACACCCGCTGCCATTGGCAATCCCAGCTCTGAGGCGGCTCCTCTGCCAGCTCCTTCTTCACCTTGGGCACAGACGCTCCTCTCGCTAGCTCCTCGGCAGCGCCACAAGGGCTTACGCTGGGGAATTTACCATTTCCTTCTGGTGAAGCGCTCGCTGCTTGGCTCTGAGCCTCCATTTTGACTCGAACCGGCAATGGGAGTCCCAGGTCTGCCATTTCTCCTTGGGGAGCCGCCATTTTGGGAGTGGGCGTTGAAGTCTGGCCTCTTTGCTTCTCAAGGGACTGATGCAGCCACCGCTTTCTCTCGGTTTCAGTTTCTCACGCTGAGGAGAAAGGCCTCTCAATCTCTTGACTTGGCCTGTGGTTAGAATAATCTGTGGTAAGGCAGTGAAGGCATTGTCCTGTCATGAAAAATGGAACACTCTTAGCCCAGGACTGCTCATCTGAAGATTGTTCCATTTTTATTCTCCCCCTGCCTAATATTCCAGTCCCCAGGTGCACAATGAAGGGGAGGGGACCACAATCCCTGGCATGGAGATACAGTGATGACTGATAATAACACAAGATCCCTCAGAGAAAGTAAAATACAAGTTGATAACCCTGTTTGCCCTTCCAACAACACTTGCTAGTTAATATATATGGTGGTCAGCCATCTTGGCCTCTGGTGCAGACACAATCACTGTCCATGTACTGTCACTTGATAAGAGCATTTAAATGAGATGGAAGCCATATAGAAGAATGCTTTATGCTTTTATGTGCTTAGTCCAGTGTGGTGTAGTGGCTGGAGTGTCTGACTAGGACTTTGGAGGCCAGAGTTCAAATCCTCTCACTCAGTCATGAAGCTCACTGGGTGGGGTGACCTTGAGCCAGTCAGTGCCTCTCAGCCTAACCCGCCTCACAGGGGAGACTGAGGAAGGGAAGAACCATGTATGCCACCATGTACAGATCCTTGGAGAAAAAGGCAGGATATAAATACAATAAATAAAATAAATAATAGCTACTACCAAGTTGCACTTAGTCACAGACTCAAGACTGATGAAGTGGGCCTAACTATTTTATCTTTTGCTTTCAATGCAGCCAGGTGGAAGGGCTGTTTGTTGATTGATTGATTTTGATTATCTATAAACCGATAAACATGCAAAATTCTATAGTGGTAGGGAACAAGAAAATGAAAAAAGAAGTGAAAATGGATAAACACTTCTACAGAAAAGAAAGAAAAGTCAGATCCGACATAATGTATACAATGTTGGGACGCTGTTCTGAGAGGAGCTGGAATTGGATAAGAACACAAGAAGGGCCTTGCTGGATCCGGCCAATGTCCCATCTAGTTCTGCATCCTGTTCCCACAGTGGCCAACCTGGTGATAGGTCCACCTCCCACCCCCGTGGGTCAAGGCACTGCTGCCTCACCTTTTTCTCTAAGGCAGTCAGGGCCTGACCCACATATGCAGGAGGACTGTACCACTTCAATCTTTGGTACCGGAGTGGGGACTCACACGTTCCGCTGTCCCGTTATGTCAGAAACTTCCTACAGTAAAAAAAACCTAGTACAACCGAGACAGAGTGAGCTAGGCTAAAAACAAACAAACGAAGATGCTTCGATTTCTTGATCTGCAGGGAGCAGGTGCCCTTGACTCAACGTGCAAGTTTAAAAAAAGGGCACGCTCCATCGACAGTCCTTCGTAGTACAGCGAAATCTCGACGGACCGTGCCAGGAAACGATCCCACCTCATTCTGCTGTGTGCGTGTGTGCGTGCATACTGTCTATATACTGTATATGTATATCTATGTGTGTGTGCGCGCGCGCGCGCCTATGAGCATATATATCTATAGGTATACACTCCAAGCTGGATCTACGAAAAGGGAGTGTACAAACGCGTGTCGGGTCATCTTTCAAGACAGCAAGGAAGAGAGTGTATGCGTGCATTTGCAAGAGCAAGCAGGCAGCCCTAGTCCAGGTGTGACCCCAACCCCCCAACCCCCACCGTCCGCTCCCCGCCCCCCCCCCCCCGATCCAGGGAGCAGAAAACTCTGGAGCAGAAGGGGGACCACGTGGCCCTCGGAGGGAGGAAATGATTCTCTTCCTACCTTTTGCGTCCCTCCTGGCAGCTTCTCTCCACCCACATCTGGAGGCTCGCACTGCGCAGCCTCTCTGGCTTTGCTGCTGCTGCTGCTCTGACAGGGGCGGGGGCGGCGCGCGAGGGGGACCCAAAGCCACTTTCAGTTCCTTCCCCACTTCGGGCGGAACGGGAAAGTGCCGTAGCATTTTGCATCCCCTTCTTCGGGTGTCTCGGAGCCTCTCTAGGCTCAGGGCTTTTGTGTTTGATTTTTTAACCCTTCGAGTATTTCCGCATACGGCTAATAAGCGTCTGTGCTGAAGTTGACTTGGCTAAGGATGGGCGAATCGTGTCCGTTTTGGGTACTCTCAGTTTCTCGCTTTCCGTCCTGAAGTTCAGCTCTCCACATTTCCACATGCAGGTTTGTTTGTTTGAAGTCTTTATGAAAATTCATCAGCATTCTTCGGGTGAAATCTTCCTAATAACGCAAGCATTCCTATGCGCAATTTTGCCTCACCTGCACGTTTTGGTAAAGCAATATTCCCAAATGGAATCGTGGAGTTGGAAGGGACCCCGAGGGTCATCTAGTCCAACCCCCTGCAATGCAGGGGTCTCAGTTAAAGCATCCATGACATGTGGCCATCCAACCTCTGCTTAAAAACCTCCAAGGAAGGAGAGCCCACCATCTCTCGTGGGAATCTGTTCCACTGTCAAACAGCTCTTACTGTCATAAAGCTTTTCTGAATGTTTAGTCCAGGCTTCCTCAACCTTGGCCCTCCAGAAGTTTTTGGCCTACAACTCCCATGATCCCTAGCTGGCAGGGCCAGTGGTCAGGGATGCTGGGAATTGTAGTCTCAAAACATCTGGAGGGTCGAGGTTGAGGAAGCCTGGTTTAGTTGGAATCTCCTTTCTTGCAACTGAAAGCCGTTGGTCCAGAGGAGGAGAAAACAAGCATGCTCCCTCCTCCATGTGACAGCCCTTAGGATATCTGAAGATGACTATCATGTATGCTCTCAGTCGCCTCTTTTCCAGGCTAAACATAACCAACTCTTTCAAGCGCTCCTCATAAGGCTTAGTTTCCAGACCCTTGACCACCTTGGTTGCCCTCCTCTGCACACGTTCCAGCTTGTCAATATCCTTCTTAAATTGTGGTGCCCAGAATTGGACACAGTATTCCAGATGCAGTCTGACCAAGTCAGAATAGAGTTGTACTACTACTTCGCTTGATCTGGACACCACACTTCTGTATAGTGTATACTCCTGGAATGCATTTTTGTACAGTATGTCATTTTCACAGTTAAATGCATTTTTACTCACAGTTTACCCTAGTTTTTGCATTTCCGTACAGACGCTTGGCTGGATAAATGCACTGCAGAGAAGTCCAAATTTTGAAGAATGGCTGTGTTTTGGTTCATGTATTGTTTTTGAAAGTGCAAATTAGCTTGGTTCGTCTTTAAATGTCAACTGAATATCATTTCTCCCTCTTGGGCTTCTTGTCACCAAACCCATAACAATGTGTACTGGTTGTCCAAAACAACTTTCACATTCCACCAGCCCATTTAAGAAATGATACTTGCCAGTAATGGGGACACACACACACACACACACACACATTTCAGTTTTTTCCAGACTCCCAAGTGCCTTGAGGCCAAACTAGACATGAGATTATTATCCACACCTTTAGACTTTGCATGACTAATTTAAAAATAAATATATGATAAAGGCACGCCTGAGGGAGGATAGAATCCTAGAGAACCGTAGAGTGTGAAGGGACCATGAGGGTCATCTAGTACAGGAATCGTTTACCCACCATGGGGCTTGGGAGGAAAGAGTTAATTTCAGGTACCGCCTCTCTGTGGGCGGAGCTATTGCAGGAAGAATGCCGGGGAGTTCCATGACGCTGCTGCAGCTATTTCTCTGTAAGTTGGGACCCTCGCGTGGAAGAGGAAATGGTGGGGGGCTTTCTTGGGTTAAATATACAGTACTGTAGTACATGATGGAAGCCAGAACTCCTGGGTTCACCAGCAGTAAATCGCAGATTAGTTCTTATGACACACTAGACTACTAGTCACAATCTAGCTTAGATCCCACTCCTCCTGTCTTTTGGTGCAAATACTTATGAATTGAATTAATTGCAATCTGCATTTTGTGCCTGCGAGTGTAGAACCAGAGATCGTCGATAATTCCCGATAAAAGATGGATGCGTGTGATTTTTGTGTCTGCCCTTTTCAAGAGGCTCGTAACCTTAACACGTTTAACCTTCTGCACTGGCCACTTTTCGCTGCGGAATTCTGTGAATGTTTACTCCAGTACCCTGTGCTGAACAATCTGGAGGAAAATAAAGTGTGAATAGTGAGGAAAGGAAAGCTAAAAACACTCAATAGGAGAAAGTTATAAACCAGCACTCTTTTGATGTCTTTCCTACATTTTGGACCCCAGGTGCGTTTGCTGAGTTCTGTTGGGAGCCGGTGAACTCTCTGCATACGTCTTGTCGTGTAAAGCCGCTTCTCCTTTTCCATATGACGGAGGTTCTTGCCCCCATCCATAAGGCTGATCTTTGTGTTTTTATTCTCCTTTGAGTAGCTTCCTGTCTCATTAAATCACAGGTGGGGAACCTTTTTCAGATCGAGGGCCACATTTCCTTGTGGGCAGTCTTCTCAGGACCAGAGGCAAAAGGGTGTGGAGCAATGAAAATAAATGGTTCCTTTGTACAACAGGCTTAATAACTTGGCACACACTCACACACCCCTCTCTATCCTGGCCCTGCTCTAGATCCCTAGGGACCAGTTCCCATTTATTTCAAGATTTTCGAGTGGGTTCCAGAATTTACCGTAGCAATTCAGCAATGTTCCAGTAGATTATATTGATGGATTGTGGGTTTTTTTGGATAGGATTCTTATTTACCAGCCTCAAAATGAGCCATTTTCAAAACTGCAATTCCAGTGCTCTGCATTTCCATATCACAACAGTCATTCCCCCCTCCCATTTGTTTCCAAGATTGAACGTCAAGAAGGAACCTCTTCCGTCCCATCCAAGCCATGTCTGTAGGCTCCAGTCTTGTGAGGATGAGTGTCCTCTTCCGGCCACGCCTTCTGATGTTACTGGACCACCCGCATCGCGCTGTCCACGCCTCCTGTGCTGCCTTCGCCGGACACAACAAATGGTCCAAGGTCAAAAACATTAAGGGTCCGAAGGATGAAGCTCGGGCCCGTGTCTTCCAGAAGCTTAGCATGTTGATCCGATTGGCTATAAGAGGTACGGCGGCAGGATTTCTGTTGCTATTCTGCGATGGAAGCGGAGATTCCTAGCGCACAGCTAGGCTCCCATGTTTCCGCTTGCTGCGTGGCAAGTGTGCCCCCGGTCTCTGGCAAGCATGGGCGAAACCCATACTTGCCCACATACTTGGAGCAGCAAATCTGGTCGGTGGCCATCCCCGCAGTTCCTGTTCCCCAGCTCCCAAGAATGCACTAGGCTACATTCCCCTCCATTATGCTGAGTTTTCTTTTTCTTTTTTTGATAATTATTTTTATAATTTTTCAGTTACAGTCCAATAATAGCCTCATTATAACAATACCAAATTATAATACCAATCATTCAAATACCGAATTACATTATTTAAGTGGCCGCCCACATGCTAGATTTGATGGTTTGATGATTTTCTTTATTTCTGCATTCCAAAATCTTATTGATTTCAATTACATTCCAGTCAAAATAATAATCCCTTATACAACAGCTGCAATGTTAATAACTTCTATTCGTGTTGACACATTAAATGATTTCTAGAACTACAAGTGAGGCACTCAAACTATGTCCTTGTTCTTCCTGTGTGTGGCAATTATTCTGTCCATGGGGTTTCTTCATTACGCTGAATTTTCGATTGTAAACACTTTAAGGCAAAGACCATCTTGTGCTCCCATCATTCTGCGAAGCGAGACAACGCTTTATGATAAACCATTCGTTTAAGGGTAACCTTCTGTCTTCCTGCATTGTCTTTGCCAGAAGGCGGACCCAACCCGGAACTGAACACGAATCTCGCCAATGTTATTGAGCAGTGCCGCAGCAAGAGCATGCCCAAGGCCTCCATCGAAGCAGCACTCACCCGCGGGGTATGTTTCTGAGCTGTTTGGAGCCAGGGTGCAGATGCTGCCACCTCTTTTGTGTGAGAGGAGAAAGTTGTGTGTGTGTGTGTGTCTGGTGGGGTAACAAGGAAATGGTAGTGATTGGAAAGGGGTTGATTGGTCTGTGTCACTCGCCGTCCTTTGTGTCGCCAAGCCACCCTTGCCCAAAACTTAAATTGGTAGTATGTAGTAGTAGTAGTAGTAGTAGTGGAAAACCTTTTGATTCTCCACATGGCGCTGAACTACAACTCCCATCATCTGGGTGGGTGTGTGTCTGTCCCTCAAGATACAACTTACTGTTCTTTTGAACTTTTCTCTTTTGGTAGGAAAAAATCAAATCGTCCTACCTGCTGTATGGGGTGCGAGGCCCTGGCGGCTGCACCCTACTAATTGAGATGCTGACGGACAATACGAAAAGGTCCTTCAATGAAATCCGGCATCTTCTGAACAAACACGGGTTAGTGTGGGGGTGAAGTGGTCAGCTGGGGGTGGGGACCACATCTGGCTTGCATTGGTTGAGAGGGTCTTACTGGGTTGGAGGAGAGGGTCTGGATTATTTGCTTCCCGATGGTCACAGTGCGGCTTTTCTGGATTCCCTTTGGACTGGAGAAGTTCAAGCATTCCCCATCATATGGTGATGGCAGACAGCAGATGTTGGCTGCTCCTTCTCCTCCGTGTTCCCCACCGTCCCACCCTATTACTTGTTGGGGCTGAACCTCCAACGGCTCTTTGACTCAGGCAGATTCCCCATGCATTTCAGTGTTGGAGCTGCAAACATTCAACTCCAATGCTTGTGGGGCTGGGATATCAGGGGCAAGACAGAGGCGGTGGGGACAACACATCCTTGCTCTCCCCACCTCATCTCTACATGATGGGGAACGTGAGGAAGATTCTGTGTCCAGGGCAGCTGTCTACCAGCTCCATCTGGTACGCCGGCTGAGACCCTACCTACCCGCAGACTGTCTTGCCCGAGTGTTGCGCGCTCTGGTTATCTTCTGCTTGGATTACTGCAATGCGCTCTAAGTGGGGCTACCTTTGAAGGTGACCCGGAAACTGCAACTAATCCAGAATGTGGCAGCTAGACTGGTGACTGGGAGAAGCCCTAAACAGCCTCGACCCAGTATACCTGAAGGAGAGCCTCCACCCGCATTGTTCAGCCAGGACACTGAGGTCCAGCTCCGAGGGCCTTCCGGCAGTTCCCTCACTGCAAGATGTGAAGCTGCAGGGAACCAGGCAGAGGGCCTTCTTGTTAGTGGCACCCACCCTGTGGAACGCCCTCCCACCAGATGTCAAGGAAATAAACAACTACAGAAGACATCTGAAGGCAGCCCTGTTTAGGGAAATTTTTAATGTTTGATTTCTGTTGTGCTTTTAATATTCTGTTGGTAGCCGCCCAGAGTGGCTGGGGAAACCATGGGTCTCCTCCTGTTGTTGGACCACAACTCCCATCTGTGACCTTTGGCTGGGGCTTATAGGAGCTGGCATTCAGAGTGTGTCAAAATGCCAGCCTTGCCCAACCTGATGCCCTTGAGACATTTTGAACTCGTTACCATCTGCTGCCAGCCAGCATGACTGCTTTGGCTGGGGCTTATGGGAGTTGTAGTCCAAAGTACTTGGAAGTCTCTGGGTTGGGGAAGCCTGCAATAAGGGGTGCTTTGGTTGGGGTTTTTTAGTTTCTCTCTGGGAGGAGAGGAATGTACTCTAGTAAGTTGGAGGTGGGACCATAGGAACCTGATTTCTCTTGGAAGAACATGGTTAAATATTGTGTGTATGATACAGGACTGAGGCCTGCACGTCAGGCATGAGTTTTATATGCAGCCTCTGAGCAAACCGTATTCCCACACTGCTTCTAGTTTTGAACGTCTTCTTATATTTTTAGATCTTGTGGTTCACTATCACTTAATGTCTGTGCTGGGGGCGGGCGGATTGCTGCCCCCCACTTTGTGTTCCCTGCAGGGGACAACTTGTCGACGGGGCCCAGCATAACTTTGAGAAGAAGGGCGTTGTCACGGTGAGCAGCGAGAACCGGTCCGGCAGCGCCGTCACCTTGGACCAGGCCCTGGAGCTGGCTATCGAGGCTGGAGCGGAAGATGTCCAAGAGGAGGAAGATGAGAACGAGAAGATGCTTCTGAAGGTGAGAGGCAGGTTTCTCATGGAGCTGCACTACCGTGTTTGAGTCTGCAAAGCGTTTGCGGCTGAATGCCTTTCTTCTTTTGCCCCCTTCTGCCCAGTTCGTTTGTGCTGTGCCAACATTGCGCCAGGTCCGTGAAAAGCTCGACTCGCTGGGCCTGTGTTCTGTCTCTGCTGGCCTCGAGTTCATCCCGACCGTCAGCACCCAGTTATCGGACGAGGAGATGGATCAGGCGTCGCGGCTGCTGGAGGCTCTGCGGGACAACCTGGATGTCGTCCGTGTGTACGACAACATCGCATAGATTGATGAGAGCCTCCCTGGAGAACCTCTCTCGGCATCAGTGGGAGCGGCAGAAGACTGCTATAAGCTGTGGCCTGATGTGCACCATGTCAGAAGCCTTGCTGCGAGGTCAAATTTGAGGTGCCTTTTCAGAGCAGTTAAGGTTGGCAGCCAGGAATGAGGGTTACTGTGCTGCTGAGGCTTCCACTTGTCTCCCCTGCTGGACTTTTCTCTCATAGTTAATGGTACCTTACCTGAAGGCAGGCCCACACTGTGAGCAAAATCCAAGGGGCCCTCGAGCAGCTGTGGGTGTCGAGTGAGCACTCTGGCAAGGCTGGATTCTGGCCCTGTTTTGCACACTTCTTCTGCTGGAAAATCCAAGGAGTGTTCACTATAAAAGCCTCCTTCTTGAAGCTGCAACGTTCTCTGGAGTTCCAGTATTGAAGCAAGGTCCATGGACTTTTAGTCTTATTGATGACCCAGGAACAGCCAATGAATTGAGGTTATTCATGAGCCAGCAATGGCATAGTGACTGAATGCCTCACTACCTCACCACTTGACTCGATGCCCAAATGATCCAAATGGGATTTTTATGTTTTCTCAGGCATTGTTTGGAGGTGGGTGTGATTGCTGAATAACCCTGCAAGGGCAAAAACCTTTGATAACATTGTCCACTTTAGAGTGGAAGCATGAGGCCGAAAGCAGGCGTCATGTTTTTAAGTGTGGTGGAAGCAGTCTGAAAGCTCACATGTATTTTGCCTTGGAAGACATTTGTTGTCAAGAGGCAGAAACTGGTGTGTTCAACAAGCCACGATTCACGTCTTTATCCTGAGTGTTGCCTGCTGTTTGGAGAGAGCTAATTAAAGTTTTGTGTTTGCTGTAGCCTTCTTGTTCTGTTGCATAGAGCAGAAGTGGGAATAAGGAGTTTTAACTGGAAATGAGTAAGAGGATTGGCCATTACCCCCCTACTGGAGGCTCCCATAAATACTGGGTCATGCTTGTTTTCTCATTATGTTCCTGAATGCACTCTCTCTACACTTCCTTCAGTGAATGCTAGAGAGCAAGTGTTTGGGAGTACGTTGGCAGCTAGTACACGTCTTCAGAACTATTTGTGTATGTTGCCGAGTGTTCCCTTGTTGATGTGTGTAAATTGAGCACCTGCCTGCCTTTGTAGCTGCATGAGAGAGGTGGTGTGGATTACTCTCTGCACATGAGGCTGCTGCCCTTTTGGTATTTGTTTGGTGGCTGTGCATACGAATGTGTGATATTAACAGGTGGATGCCTGCATGCCTGCATTTTAAGCATCTCCCTGTCCCTGCATTGAGTGTATGTGAGAGTGTGGATTTCACTGGACATCTACCAGTGCCTCACTATGTAAAAATTAACTCCTTCGTCTCTTTCCAAGTACCTGTCCTTTCAGTCTCTCCGTGTTTATGTACTGTGGCTTTTACACGCTAGCTGTATGCTATACACTGTCATTTTGTGAAGAATCTACAGAATTCCCAGTACACCTGCAAAACTACAAAAAATAACCTACTACAAATAGTGGGAACATATATGTGCTCTGGTTCAGGATGGCAGTGGTTGTTTGTTTGTTTTTTGGCAGAAGCTGTGTCAGTCATTTTAGTCTGAACTGGTTTTTGTTATTTATATAGTACGTACCATTAAAACAAAACCCACTGCTTCCTACCCTGAAAAGAGCCAGCCCTCCCAACTATTACCAAAATCTGACCAAAACTGGGAGATTGTGGAGGCCAAGAAGTCCACAAGAGAGAATCCTTTAATGGAACTGTGTTCTTACATACCTGATCTCAAAGATTCCTGCAGGCAGGGGCAAAATTTCAAAAGCTTTATTACTAACAGATTTCACTGATGAGTCCTGTACACAAGCCTCTTATCATACAGGCCCAAGAAAGTAGAAGAACCTGTCACAATGCTTTGTTCAGTCGCCATCAGCTCCTCCTCCTATGCAGATGTCTCTTTGTAGAGAGTTAAGCATGCCCACATGATTCTGCCAATATTGGCCTAATTCTGCTCCAGCTCGACCCAAGGAAACCCCCAACCATTAGAGACAGTGATTTTCATTAAAGTAGAAACACCAAAAGAAGAAAATTGACAAGCAATCATTTGAAGTACTTATTTCAATAGTGTGTGTGAATGTAAATACATGGCTACTCCAGGGGAGAAATAGCCAACACAGTGCCCTCCAGGTGCTGTTAAGACTGCAATTCCCATCATGCCTGATCATTGGCCACACTAACTCAGGCCAATGTAGTCCAACCTCATCTGCAGGGCACCACATTGGCTACCCCTGTTAGGGTGTCTCCATGCAAACTGATGCGCATGAAGAATAAAAGAGACAGCACCAGCTTGTATAGAACTAGCAATTTATGACATCTGCGCAGTTGCAGCTACTAGAAAATTCAGGTGGAATAATGGACGGCTCTGGCCTGTGGCCTCCGGCCCAATTCAGTCAGTGTCACTCTCTGGGCTTTGGGGGATGGGGGAGCCTCCTGAGGGAGCGCAGGGCAGAAAAAGTTCTGCATATCCGTTGCCGCTCGGTGGGGAAGGGGTGGCGGTGGGGAAGTCCAGGCCCACAGGCCCAGCCAGGCCTTGGCTTTGGAAGGCCTCGTAGTCAGTCCCGGGGTTTCCTGAGGGCAACCCCTCAGGAGGGGGGCCATCCGCTTGGCGACACACCTCAAAGCGCAGCCAGCGGTACCCGGTGCACTTGCGAGCTCCTGGGCAGCTCTGGATGAGGTGCTGAATGGCTGGGTGGGAGAGGCCAAAGAACTCAGCCCCTGCCGGCTCAAGCTGCACTGCTCCCACAGCCTCAAGAAGCTGAGCGTGGCAGGCGTCGGGAGTGGAGCCAGCGACCACGCAGCCCGGCTCATCCTCAGGGGCAATCTCAAAGTGTGGCCCGCCACCGCCGTCCTTGATCTGGCAGGTGTAGAGGCAGCGGTGGACTGGTCTGCGGGTGCTGGCGAAGATCCTGGTGCTGCAGTAACCGACGGGATAGATGGCCGTCTCCGTGTGGAAGCCTGGCCGGTCGGGAACAATTTCCCCCAAGCTGTAGACGGTCAGTGGGCCCAACGCAATGGGTAAAACCGGCCGCCCGGAAGGATCCAAGGGAAGCGGCGGAACCAGCCGGCGGACGCTGAGATCGGGGGCCGCCCTGCGCTTGGAGGCCCGGCCGTTCTCTTTGCCTTTGCGTTCTCGGCGGGGTTTGCGGCCAGCCGGCTCATCCGGCGAGGGCTGCGAAGCGGAAGCGACGGCCGGCAGAGGAGGCTCGTCTTCCGCCAGGGCTTGAGCTTGCAACAGGCGAGCGAGCAGGAACCGGCGCTCTTCCCGGACACGCAGGTATTTCGCCTCGAGCCTGGCAATCTCGTCGCACAGAGCTGCGTTCTCGTAAACCAACACTTTGGCCGCACGGCGCAGGCGCCGGAATTTCAGGCGGTAACGCTCGCCTTGGTTTTTGCGTAGGGTTTTCTTCATGGCAAGGGGGGAGGGCAGGATGGAAGGGGGCTCGCTTGAGCAGAGAGAAGCTGGGGAGGAGAAAAGATTCGGGAGGCAATTCCAATATTAACACACACAAACACACACAAAAATCATACAAACATTTCCAGCTCAATATTATTCCCAGGATTGGAGTGAATAACCATCTTTCATAATGCTAAAAAGGCTCAGATACACATTCAGATGAACAGTATACTCCTTGGGTGTACTGCTATCCCTAAATCCAGGCACTAGAATGTTTTTGTACCTTCAGGGGTGCCTGAAATTATGCTCAAAAGTACATAGGATCTTTTTTTCTCTCTAACTGGATCTTCACCTGCACATGATGCTGAAGGCTCACTGTGGGTTCTTAGCAGCATCTGTTCAAAGAATCTCCTACAAGGAAATTGCACGAGTTTCCCATTCTGACATTTCCATCCCATTTGCTACCATTTCCCTCCAGTAGCGGTAAAATATTATGGGATTTTAAAAGGCATGACTTCCTGCCCGGTTTCTTATTTTAGATATTAAAAGCATCAAACAAAGGGCAGGCAGTTCTGTAGCAGTGGGGTAAACTGGAGTAACAGAAAATATTAAACACAACCTCCATAAAACTAGGAGTACTTAGCAAAGCTCCTCTCTGGAAAGGAAATGGAATGAGGAAGCCGTAGCCAAAGAATTTAGAAAGCTTTGATAGCAGTTTATAAAATTATGTATAGCAATATCTGGAGTGCAATATCTGGAGAGCCACACGTTTCCCAATCCTGATATATAGTGTGGATATGTGTTTTCCCACATCCCTGTTCCATATTAGACCATACTGCCCTGTGATCCTCAGATGAAGGGTGGTAAAAACAACAAGAACTCAGGGTGACTCAGTGAAATGTACTGGCAGTAGGATCACGACAGATCAGGCAAATGGCCCATCTACTCTAGCATCATGGAAGGTATTCGTCCTATACACACATCATACATGTAAAGCACATGCAACACACGTTTACAGCTCATGGCTCCCACCCCTAAGAATCCCCGGAGTTAAGGGTGCTGGGAACTGCAGCTTTGCAAGGGTAAAACTACAACTCCCGGGTTTGTTTTTTTGAGATGCCGCATGCTTTAAACGTATGGTGTGGATCTGTCGTCTAAGTTTTACTCAAGGCAGACCCAGTGAAAGTAATGGGCATGACGAAGCTAGGGCCCGTTCATTTCAACAGGCCTACTCCTGAGCAAAACTTAGTCGCCTACCATCCCTGCTCTCACAGCGGCCAGCCAGATGCAAGCCTAAAGCAATTTATGCTTGCAACTTATGCTGAATTTGGGGGTCGGTGCGACACATGCAGCGCTTTTACCAAGGCAGCCGCTGCAAATGATGCAACTGCCTGCAAACAATCGATGCTCGGCCACGGAATCCCCCCTCCTATTCCCCTCTTTCATTTGCAGCCCCCCAGCTTCTCACCCAAATGTTGTTGCTGCTGCTGCTGCTGCTCCCTTTGCTCTCCCGGAAGCTCTGGCGGGGACCGGAAGCTTCCCTGCGCCGCGCGCCCCGCCTGTGTAACCCTTTCCTCCCTGGACAAAAGGACAGCCTGGTTTCCAATCAGGAAGGGGCGGGGGGAGCGAGGAGGGGGTCGCCAACCTTTTGCTTCGGGCGGGGCATCAGCGGGGTAACAGTGTCAGAATGTGGACTGAAAGGTCCCGAGCGATGCTGGTCACAATGCGAAAAGCCCTCTTCGTTGCCTCCGGCGCACCTCCTGCTCCCTCTGCGGAGTGGGAGCCAGCCCTGCACTGCTGCCGCATCGCTGTCTCTCTAGGCCGGAGAAAAGCCATATCCCTACGCCTGTTAAATGGAGCCCCATCAGGAGACAAAATCTGCAACTGGATTCTCGGAAGGGGTTAGGGAGGGAAGCCAGAATTCCAGCTGAGAAGGAAGTGGGGAGTCTTATTTACCAAGGCGGGTGGTACCAGGTTCAAGTCCTGGCATCTCAGGTACTGCTGGGAGAGGCCCCTGCCTGAAACCCTGGAGAGCTCCCGCAATCCGTGTAGACAGTATTGAGCGAGATGGACCAATGGCCTGATGTACTTTTCCATTTTTGCCCTATGAGGTGTGCAACATGCTAACAAACACTGCCTTGTTTCATGTTAAATGTCACCAGAGCTGGGGAGAAATGGCCGCACAAATCCACCTCAAAATCCTCTCCTTCTAAATTTCGTGCCAGATATGTTACTATTTTTTCCTACATCCTAACATTGACTTTCAGCGACATCTGATGGTATCTGATATTTGACATCCAATATTAGATAGGTAAAGCGGACCGTGAGACTTCTGAGTGCGTGTAAACCACCTAAGCTAATGCCCTCCAGAACACCGTGTGGAAGTAAATTCCGGAATTAAATTTTTAAAAGATTGCTTAGGGCCTCTGCACGTGTTCAAAGACAATTTCGCCTTGACTTCACATCCTTTGTGGGCACTATGTCCTTGCTGTCACTGAAAGCATACGAAAGCATATTCGGGGTGGCGCCTATTAAGCAATTGCCACTCCTTTCCTAATACACAGTGTCTTCGGGGCAATTTATTTTTCTAACACTTTCTCCACTGGGGAATGCCAAGTTGGTTTCCCCCCGTTGTCCTCTATTCTCGTGGGACTAATGAAACAGTATTTCTGCCCTACAGACATAATCTGATCCAGCCAGGCTGGCTGGCTGACAACGCGTGGGTGAAGAAATGAATTACCCAAGGTCATTTTACTACAAGGCGCGCCACGACTCATCCACGGAGCCCTTCGGCTTTTGCCATGGGGTTTGGGGCGGCGAATGTGATTCCAGCCCTGACAAACGCCCCCCCCATCAGCTCTCGTCCCTGCCTGGGGGGAGATGTGGGGGGAGGTCGGAAGGCGGCACACGCGAGATCTCCGGTCTCTACTGGCTGCTAGTGCTCCTGGTGCGCCGGAGAAGGGAAGGGGGGAGCGGAGCCAAGCGGGAGGGCCAGGCGGGCAGGAGGAGGCGGAGCTGGGCCTGGCGGTGGTGCATTGTCTGCCGGGCTTAACCCCTCGCGTGCTGCGAGCCGTGCAGGGGGGCATGGAGACGGTAAGGGGTGGCAGCGCAGGGCGGGCGAGGGGCTGGGGAGGAAAGGGGGAGCCTTCGCCGGAAGGCACCCGGCTGCGCACAGTACCAAGGGACCTTGGGGAAGGCCACGCCGTACGCTGCCCCGGGAGCGGGAGAAGGGACAAAGATCCTGGCAAGGGGGGGGCCTGGCAACGAGGCTCAGGTCTCCAGGCCCGGGCATCGGGCAAGGGGGCCCTCGCGGAAGGCGCGCCCCGAAGCTGCTGCGCTTGTGCGCTCTGGCCGGGGCTGCGAGATGTTGGGTTTATGGAGAGCGCGCTCCCTCTGCCCCGGCATGCGGAGATGAGGGAGCCCAGCGAAAAGCAAGAATTTGGGAGGTACAAGGAGGCTACGGAGACCTCGAGATTCCTGTAGGGAAGGACCTGCGGTTCCAAGGTGCGAAGAGGAAGGTGTAAGCATGTGGCCCCGATCCTTCCCAAGCGCGATCCTTTGCAGAGAGGGGGCCGCTCCCTTTAGGCCCCGAGCGGACCTGCGGGATGTGCGTGTCCCTGGGGCATGCGCGTGGCACCGTAAACCTAAGCGGGCTCAGTTTTCCTTCCCAGCTTCGGTTCCGCCACAAGATTTCCCCTGGGTCACGCCATACATTCAGAACACTCCAATGCCACCTTAACAGTCCTGGAGAATCCTGGGAACTGTAGTTTGTCGAGGGTGCTGGAACATGTAGTTCTGCGGGGCCAGCAGCCTTGACAAACTACAGTTCCCATGGTTCTTTCTTTTGGGGGGAGAGCCCAAAAAAGAGTGATACAAGAGTAGTTTCAAGGTATGGTGCAGGAGTGGCCTTGGTATGACAAAGAGTCTAACTTGGAGACTTGTTTTTTTCTAGGTGTGATTTACATTGTTTTATCTTACCCTCTGCATACATGCGTCATTCTCACTACAACCCTGAAGGGCGAGCTCTGATTCGCCTTTATGCCAAGCTACAATTCCCAGGATTTTTTGTGGGAGTTAACAGTGGTATAAGGCTGCTTTAAAGTTATGGTGTGGGTGCTAAATGCCTTCCTGCTGGCTTGCCCTTTCCTCTCTCATCCCTGTGTCTGTAAGTGTCAGAGAGGGAGAGAGGGATGCTGCTTCTACAGCCCAGTAGCACCAGACCTCTACAGGAGGACCCCTTTACTACCTTATCTGGCAAAATCTTTATCCAGGCCAGAGCTAGCAGTGTGGGAGCCTCACCCAGGTTTGTCCCCATCTACTGACACGCTCTTCTCTCCCATGCAGATGGAATCGGTACCCTACCCAGGCTTCCCAGTGGATGCTGAAAACAATGGACCCTTTCCTCTCGAGGAGGACGATCCCAGCGTCCCAAAGTACAATCCGCTTTCTTTCTCCTTTTCCTTTCCTTACCTTTATAAACCCAATGAGGGCTGCTCAATTCTTTGCCCATTTACCTGGGAGTGAGTGAACTCAGCTGGGTCTTTCTTCTGGGGAAACATGTGCAAGACCAGGCTGTGTGACACTTAACAGTCCTGGGGTTGCATATGCTCTGATGTCCATGTGGCACTTGAGACTTCGATGTGGCACTTTTGCAATAACTCTGGTCTTGGCAGGTGGTGGTGGTTGTAGAACTGCGTGCCCAAGGAAGATTGGCCTCTCCCAATTCCCTGGGCACCTCCCCTCATTCCACAAACATGGGGCCACCACCGAAAAGGCTCCGTCATGGGCCACCATCAACCAGGCAGGGCCCTGTGAAGACACCACCACTAAGGCCTCGCCTGCCGATTGCAGTGTTTGGGGTGGTTGATCTAGGCATCATTTGTGCAATGCAGAAAGGAGAGTAACTTGGGAGAAAATGACAAGTGTTCTTCTGGTCAATGTAGGTCTTTGATTCACAGGCTCAGGGAACCCACATTTCAGTGTGAACATCCACTTTGTGAAAAAAACTAAAGGACTTTTGGGCCACCCCAACCCTTGGGATTTTTATGTATTTTTAATGGGCATGTGAGATTTGTGTGAGGAAGGTTCTGTAAGGATGCCCTGTCTAAATGGCTTGTCCTTTAGGTTCGCAGTCGTCAAACCACATTTCCCCTGGATGGAGCACGGGGAGGAGATGCAGCTACCAGAGCCGGGAGAGAGGCAGGAGCTGACGGTGGTCAACGCAGGTAAGGAGCAATGGCTTGCTTGCACAGAGGGGACAATGCGGTCTAGCGGTTAGAACTTTGGACTTTGGGGAAATCAAGCTCTACATCCCCACATGGCCAGGACGCTCACGGGGGTGACTTTGGGCTGGGTGGTCTTAGGCCTGCGATGATTTTGTTATACAGGTGAAACTCAAAAAATTAGAATATTGTGGAAAAGTTCATTTATTTCAGTAATTCAACTTAAAAGGTGAAACTAATATATGAGATAGACTCATGACATGCAAAGCGAGATATGTCAAGCCTTTATTTGTTACAATTATGATGTTTATGGTGTACAGCTGATGAAAGCCCCAAATTAACAATCTCAGAAAATTAGAATATTAAATGAAATCAGCAAAACAAGGACTGCAAATAGAGCAATATTGGACCTCTGAGAAGTAGAAGCATGCACATGTACTCAGTACTTGGTTTGGGCCCCTTTTGCATCAATTACTGCCTCAATGCGGCGTGGCATGGATGCTATCAGCTTGTGGCACTGCTGAGGTGTTATGGAAGACCAGGAAGCTTCAGTAGCAGCCTTCAGCTCTTCTACATTGCTCGGTCTCATGTCTCTCATCTTTCTCTTGGCAATGCCCCATAGATTCTCTATGGGGTTCAGGTCAGGTGGGTTTGCTGGCCAATCAAGCACAGTAATCCCATGGGCATTGAACCAGGTTTTGATACTTTTGGCAGTGTAGGCAGGTGACAAAGTCCTATTGGAAAATGAAATCAGCATCCCCATAAAGCTCGTCTGCGGAAGGAAGCATGAAGTGCTCCAAAATCTCTTGGTAGATGGCTGCATTGACCCTGACTTAATGAAGCACAGTGGACCAACACCAGCTGATGACATGACTCCCCAAATCAACACAGACTGTGGAAACTTCACATTGGACTTCAAGCATCTGGCATTGTGTGCCTCCCCATTCTTCCTCCAGACTCTGGGTCCTTCGTTTCCAAGTGAGATGCAAAAGCTGCTCTCATCAGAAAAGAGATTTGGGGAGCCATGTCATCAGCTGGTGTTGGTCCACTGTGCTTCATTAAGTTGGGTGGCTCCCAACAGAGTATTAAAAACACAATAAAACATCATACATAAAAACTTCCCTAAACAGGGCTGCCTTCAGGTGTCTTCTAAAAATCAGATTTATTTCCTTGACACCTGAAGGGAGGGCTTTCCAGAGGGAGGGTGCCACTACTGAGAAGCCCCCTTTGCCTGGTTCCCTGTAGCCTCACTTGCCTACACGCTCCTGTGACAATAGGCCTGATCCAGCACAGCACTTCTTCACGATCTTCCTTTCTCCCACCAGGTTCTGACACACCAAGTGAGGAAGAGGAGGAAGTGGTGGAAGGTGCTGAGGAGCAAGGGGCCTCGACTTGCCTGGAGAGTTGGGACTGGGGCCAATCAGCAACAGGAGAGAAGGACGCGGAGGCCTCTGTCACCATAGACCCTCGGCCGTTCCGCTGCTCGGAGTGTGGCAAGGGCTTTGCCCAGAGCTCAAACCTGGTGAAGCACCAGAGGATCCACACCGGGGAGCGCCCGTTCCGGTGCCCCGAATGCGGCCGCGGCTTCAGCTGGAGCTCCTCACTGGCGGAGCACCTCAAGGCGCACGGCGGGCGCCGCCCCCACGCCTGCGGCGAGTGCGGGAAGCGCTTTGCCCGGGGCTCTACGCTCGCGGAGCACCAGCGGGTGCACACGGGGGAGAAGCCTTTCCGGTGCCACCAGTGCGGGGCCCGTTTCTCACAGAGCTCCACCCTGGCGCACCACTTGCGCACACACTCGGGCGAGCGTCCCCATGCCTGCCCTGACTGCGGGAAGCGGTTCGGGCGCAAGTCCACCCTCGTCACTCACCTGCGGACCCACACCGGCGAAAAGCCCTACCTGTGCAGGGAGTGCGGCCGCTGCTTCGGCGTCAGCTCTGACCTGGCCAAGCACGTGCGCAACCATCGCACCAACGGCAGTGGCTGGGGGAATGCCGCTGCAGAAGTGCCCTGCCCTACTCCGCTGCCAGCTGCAGATCGGGGCAGGCAGCAAAATGAATATGCTTCGCTTGAGGGCTCAGATGCAGGTGGGCAGCAAAATGACCGTGCAGAGGAGGAGGAAGAGGAGGAAGAGAAAACCTTTATGTGCTCTGAGTGTGGGGAAGGCTTCGGGCAGAGTTCTGAGCTGACTCAGCATCAAAAGATCCATCTGAGTGAAGTTGCGCACTGCTGCCATCAGTGTGGAGAAACCTTCCCTGACCAGTCAGAACTAGGCGCCCACGTGGCAAGTCACAGTGTGGAAGAGAAGCCACACAAATGCTCTGACTGTTATGCTTGCTTCTCTGAAAACTCTGCCCTCCAGATACATCAGAGACTACACCTTGGAGAGTTATCCCACTTCTGCCACCAAGGAGGAGAGAACTTCCTTGATAGCTCTGATTTGGAGGAGCCCCACAGCACCCACAATGGGAAGCAGAATCCCTTTGAGTGTCCGGAGTGTGGGGCCCACTTTGCCGAGGCCACTGCTTTGGCCGCACACCAGACAACCCACCTGGATGTGGAATCGTTTCCCTGCCCCCAGTGTGGGAAAACCTTCCTTGATCGTGATGAGTTGGCCCTTCACCAAGTGAGTCATGCTGGCAAAGGAGATGAGGAGGCAGAAGAGAAGCCTTATAAATGTACCATCTGCAGCACTTATTTCCCGGACAGCAGTGATCTCCTGGCGCATAAAGTGAGCCATGGGGCGGATGGAAGATCCCACTCCTGCCACCAGTGTGGCGAAACGTTTCCTAGTGACTCGGAGCTTGCCATTCACCAGCTGAGCCACACGACAGAGGCCGCCTTAGACAAGCTGTACTCCTGCGCCGTGTGTGGCAAGTCCTTTGCGCTATTTGCCACGCTGGCGGCGCACGAGCGCACCCACATGTCAGACGACGATGCCTACCGGTGCCCGACGTGCGGCGAACGTTTTCCAGACAGCGGCAAGCTGGGGAGGCACCAGCGTCGCCACTTGGGCGAGGAGAGGCCCTTCCGGTGCCCGGCGTGTGGCAAGGGATTTGTGTTGCTTTCGGGGCTGCGGCAGCACCAACGCGACCCTCCGGCCCGGTGTCCTCAGTGCGGCGAGACCTTCGTGTGGCGCTGCCGACTCACCGAGCACTGCCGCAGCTGCCACCCGGCGGAGCGCCCCTACAAATGCCCCGATTGCGGCAAGGGCTTTGCCCAGAGCTCAAAGCTCCTGCGCCACCAGGTGACGCACACCGGCGAGAAGCCGTTCAAGTGCCCCGACTGCGGCAAAATCTTTAGCCAAAGCTCCAACTTGGCGGAGCACCGCCGCACGCACGCCCCGGGCAAGGCGCACTGCTGCGCGATCTGCGGCAAGGCTTTCGCCCTGGGCTCCTACCTAGCCAAGCACCAGGCCACACACACGGGCGCCCGCCCTTTCCGGTGCACCGAGTGCGGCAAGGGCTTCCGACAGAGCTCCAACCTCATCCAGCACCAGCGGACGCACACCGGCGAGAGGCCCTACGCCTGCGCCTCTTGCGGCAAATCCTTCACCCAGAACTCGCACCTGGTCAAGCACCGGCGAGTTCATACAGCCGAGAGGCCGTACCGCTGCCCCGTCTGCGGCAAGAGCTTCCGGCAGCGCGGCAACCTGGCTGAGCACCAACACCAGCACGCCGGCACCCGCCCGTACGTCTGTGGCGCCTGCGGGAAGTCATTCCGGTGGAGCTCCGCTTTTTCCAAACACCAGCGTACTCACCTTGCTCCCTGACCCTGTGAGGAAGGGGAGGGGGGGGAGCAAGAAGTCCTTCCCCCATATTGGGCCTTCTCCGAGCACCAACGGACCTTTCTTCCTTTCTCTCAGTTTCCTACATCTAAACAGGAGATCCCTTTCTAAGAATACAGACCAGTGGACTTGGGCTGTGCCCTGATCCTGATCTTTCGTCTTAAACTTTGCCCCTTCAATCTGACGCTGAGTATAGCCTTCTGCCTCCTGACTCTGAGGCCTGGCCTTCACGCAAACAGGAAACGGATTTTGAAACTCTAATGGTGCTGACAGAATCACCCTTTGCAAACTGATGGCCCTGCAACTTCAATTTCCATCCCCTTCTCTAAAATCTAAAATGGTCTTCATGCTGTTTCTGGGATTTTTCCCAAGGGAGCAAACCTCGTAGATTCTTGTCTCGTTCTCTGAGCATCACTAATCTTTGTCGTCATGCCCTGGTTAATTTTCTAATTTCTAATTTCAGACTTCTGATTCTTATCTTTAAATTTCAGCGATCTGAATTCAGTCCCTGACTGAATTATGTAACACCTGAAACTTTATATTTAGCCTGTGTGAGACTCCCATTTCAAAGCCTGAAATTCTAACCAGCAAGTCCTCAACTTCATCCTTGAGCCAGTCTTGTTTCCCAGATGTTAAGGAGACCCCAACGGAGAAGTGACAGACATTGAAGCTGGCCATTGTCCTCTGAACTTGAACTCAGGGCTTCAGGCCTTACTTTGTTCCCAGCAGGAGCCTGTCAAATGTACTATGGTCTTCTGTCCATGGACAGCATGAGCTTGTTGAGAGGGGCGGGGGCAGTGATAGTCAAAACTATATTTTGTAAAATTGGGAAAACATTTGAGAAAGTTTGTTTATTTTTCTGTTACATTTATTCTGCTGTCCCTCCAAGAAACTCAGGGCAGGTCTTTTGGGCGTTAGTTACCGCCCTTTTATCTTCCCTATTGTCCTGTGAGATGGTTTGAGCTGTTTCCCCCCTCAAAGTTACTAAAAACAGCTTTGTGGCCCAGGTCTCTGGGCGAGTGGGAGCATTTCTGCCCTCATGGAAGCTTTTTTGGAAGAGGACGGCCTGGCCTTTCTGTTCTTGCATCATTATCCCCTCTATTCTGAGGTCACATTCACACCATACATTTAAAGTACCCTGATACCACTTTAAACAGTCATGGCTTCCCCCAAAGGATTCTGGGAGCTGCAGTTTGTGAAGGGTGCCGAGGGCTGTTTGGAAACCCCTGTACCCTTCAAAGAGCTACAGAATTCCCTGTGAAGAGGGATCAGTCGTTAAATGACATCTGGCGGCCATTTTGTATGAGCCACCGGTCCAACTGAGGAAGCAAGATCCGTGCCAGCAATGGGGAACCTGTGGCCTTCCAGATGTTGCTGGAGTCCAGCTCCCCACAGCCCTGGGGGACATAGCTGTCAGGGATGATGGGAGTTGTAGTCCAGCAACATACTGAGGGCCGTGAGCTCCCCATTCCCAGTCTAAACCATTAAGGGCAATGAGTGAAAGGAAGGAAGGAAAGTGTAAATATAGCTAGTTTGCATGATGTTTAAACAAACAGGAAAAGCAAATCTCTTCCCACAAAGGGGCAAAATGTCACCTCCTCTTAGTTTCTTTACTTTCTGTTCCTTTCAGGCCAAATGGAACTATTGCATTTGACTCACATCTTGAACAGGGGGTTGTGGAGGAAATGAATGAGGCTGACGCGTGGCATATTTTCTTTATTGCCTTTAAAAGAAACTGCTGTTTGGGGAGGGACTCGTCTGGGTCAGGATATTGGAGATGGGGTAGGGAAAGAAAATTCTTCCTGGGCAAGAGTTTTAAAAGCGTTCTTTGGAATATATATATATATATATATATATATATATATATATTTATATGTATTGTGCTGAGCATCAACTCCCACGCCCCTTATTAAAAACTAATTGGCTTTAGTCAAAAGGAGTCTTTCCCACAAGTGGAACTCCCTTTTAATGACTCCCCCCCCCAAAAAAAAAGCCCAAATGAAACCCCTCCGAGATTCATTTATTTTTTATTAACAGAGTGGAAAGTTTCTTAGAAATGAAGTTAGATGGAAATGCTAATATTTGTCATAGGGATATACCTATCATAAAAGACAGGAGAGAGAGGACATCGGTGACACCCCATTGCAATTCACGTGTTTATTCAGAAATGAGCCCCGCAGTGTTCAATGCAGGTGAGCCGGGTTCCACCCAACATTGTGGGTGCCCAGTGTGCATGTGTGACTAGGAGGTAGTGTCTTATATGGGTGCCAGAGGGCTAGGCTGTGGCAGAAGTAGGGAGCCTGTGGCCTTTCAGATTTTGTGAGACTACAGTTCCCATCATTGTAGCCATTGGCCATGCTGGCTGGGGCTGATGGGAGCTGGAGTACAGCATCATCTGGAAGGCAACAGGTTCTCCATCTCTGGTCTGTGCTAAGATACAAAATAGCATTTTGAGCTTCTGTGTTTGTAGAAAAACTCAAGTCAGACCACTGGTCCATCTAGCCAGCCAGTATCATTTACCAACAGGAAATGGCACTGGCTGGTCTGTATGGTTCTTTCCCAGCCTGGCTTCCTTAGGTCCATTTTCAAAGCTGGAGATACCAGGAACCGTTCATCTGCTGAAGCCTCTGTTCAACCCCTGAGCAAAGGGTCTTCTCACGTTTTATGCTTCAGTTAATGGCTGGGTGCTACTTGGCTTATATGCGCATGGTCTTCCGTGATTACAAAAGGTGTAGTCAGATCCGGGTGCCCTTCTGTGATGATTTAAAAAGAAACGATAATAATTCTGCTCCAAGGTGACAAAAATTCCGCAATGACAAAAAGGTGGATTCTGCAACCTGAATAAAATTATTCAAATATGCATGGTTTATCCTTGTTTTTTGCTTCATTTGTTTTGCTGGTGATGCTTGGAACGGGCAGGGCAAGGAGGAACACTGAAATCCACCCCCCCCTGCCCTGGCTGCTATAAATCTTATGCAGCAACTGTTTACGTTGCTGAGATTCACCACCCACAGGATTAAATGTATCTTTAAAAACACAAGAAACTTGGTTGTTGGGTGGGTGGGAAGGGAGCTGAATGCCATGGCCAATCTCATTCTGCAGCTTTTTTCTGCTGTTGTGTAATTGCAACATATACGCCGCCTGATTATAAGGGTATGTTGTTTTTAGTGAATACAGACTGGGTTGTAAGCAGGTTTGAACCCCAGACCTAACAACAGCTTGCCAGGGATGTAACAGTTAAAGATTCTGCTCTACACTGTCAGACACCATCAGATTTCAGCTGGTGGGCTAGGAGGAAGAAGCTATTTTCCCCTTTAGCTCCTCCGAAACTGGAGAAGTGCAGTCCAGCCACAGGAGAGATGGGCATCCTTCAGATATGGAGTACTGCAGCAGAGCTGGCAGTAGTCACGGTTGGGATTGTTACGTCTTCAACAGGTACATGAATGCATGTTCAGTAAAGTGAGCAAGCACTTGACTCAAAAGTTGTTTTTTAAAAAAATGCAACAAATAGTGTGGATATGGCGCTGTCCAATGCAGCAGCTGTTCTGAGGGACGCAAGCAGTTGCTGCTATAACTCACCTTGCCCACCAGAGGGCAGCTGTTCCTGTTCTCAATGTCAGAACTGATTCTCCATCTACGGTAATCACTGTTTCTGCAGCAGGGCATCTGGACCTGTTGGATTTATGGCTGCTATAAAGGTGTTTAAGGCAGAGTACCTCTGTCTATGGGGAAATGATGGACAAGGATAGTGTTTTTTGGGGGGCACTGCAGACTGGGGTATTTGAGAAGTGTGCTCTTAAGGTGGGCCCATGGATCCAGTCTTGTGTGACAGGCAGATGTTAGCATGTGTGGGCCTGTTTAGTTGTCATGTGAAACTTTCATGTATGTACATATCATGATGATAAGCAGTTCAGGTGATTGGGTTACTACAATGCACTGTGTGGGGGGCTTCCCTTGCACTCAATCCTGTTTTTAAGCAGAGTTTGGATGGCCATCTGTCACGGACCCTTTAGTCGAGATTCCAGCATTTCAGGGGGTTGGACTAGATGACCCTCGGAGGTCCCTTCCAATTCTATGATTCTAAGCTGCACTTAGTGGAGAATGCGGTAGCACCATCACCAGCAGGTAGTGAGATTGCACATGCCTGCATAGAACGCCTCTGCTCAGAGATCTGCACTGGTTGTATATAAAGCCCTTAACAGCTTGGGACCACTTTACTTGCAGGATCACCTAACCCCATATATGCCCACTCAATTGCTTCAACCTGCACAACTGGCATTGTTACACATGCCGCATAATGCTTGTTCCACTCTTTCCAGTGCCTGCTTAAATATTTCAAAAACCAGGACACCCTAAAATTTGTTTACAAAAAATGTGACTTGCCTAAGATTCTGCCTTTCAGAATTTCCCCCCAGACATCCAATTCCTTTTTTGAAATCCTGTTAATTAATGTCTGGGGAAATCTGGACGTATGGCAGCCCTAGCCTTAAAACATTTTGGTTTAGGCAAGCCTATTCAGACATGTTGGAGTTCCATGTTGCTTTTGATCAATACGTGTTTTAAACTTCTTTTATCAATACTTTTTATGTTTTATTATATGTTTTTGGTAAACCACAGTTTTGATGAATACAAAGAAAGGAAGGTCGTTTGACCTCCATCCCCCACAATCTATCTAAAATGAAATTGACTTTTAAATAGGGTTTGGGGAACGGGAAAATGGCCTGCAGTTCTAGGGCCCCACATTTCACTGACCCTTTAAAATTCAAACCCGAAAACCTGAGTCTGAGTCATAATTCTCCTACTTGCTGTAACATACGTCTCTTTCCTGCAGCTGTTATAGATGGGTGGGTGGAAATTCCACAGCTTCAAAGGTTTGGGGGGCGGGAAACAACTTTGACTTGGAAATCATCCCATGGCAGGGAAATGTTGTGGTTTCTGCTAGGTAATAGCAGACGAAGTCTCCAAGTATTTTATTTTATGCTGACGGGAAATGAAAGTCAAAACACCCATCTGTACTATGGAAAATGCCAAGATGATGATGAAGATTATTTTAATGGGATTTTGTTCCAAAAGGATTCCCAACCAACCCCAGGAGCAAAGAAGATGAAAGAGTCTGGTGGAACCTTAAAGACTGACAGCTTTGTTGCAAGGCAGAAATTGTGTCCGCAGAAGCTGAACACCAGTCTGCAAAGTGGGGGGGAGTTCAAAACCAGGAAGCTGCAACATGAAATCATAGGAAGCGATCTGGCCAGCCATCTACAGACTGTCCAACTCTTCTCCAGCCCTGTTTTCTCTCCGCCCCCGCCCCCCCGCCACTTTTAGTATAGCATCAGTGTCAGCACCATTTTCTGTTTCACCTCCTTTTCCTTGTGGGAAAATGGCACCAAAACGTTAACATCTGGCGTGGCAGAATGTGGGTCTGTTGTGCAGGCAGGGAAAAGCAAAATAGTCACATAAGAGCAGCTTGTGAGCAAGACCTTAGGGATGCAGCAACATGCAGTGTGGTGTGTGTGTGTGTGAGAGAGAGAGAGAGAGAGAGACAGACAGACAGACAGACAGACAGACAGACAGAAGTGTGTGTATGTGGTGTTTTTTTATTTAAATGGACTGAAAATGTGACTGTTTCGGATGCTTTGTTAGTGATGAAGCAGAACGCAAGCCTTTCCCTGAATAACAGGTGGAATGAAGGGAGCTTAAATATGCCATGTCTTCTAGCAGCAAAATGAAATGGCGCAGCAAATTTGTTGGAGGCCCACAAACGGAATCCAGAGATCCTGGGTCCTTGCCCATAACCCAGCAGGCCTCGCTTGTCCCCAAAATTATGGGGCAGCTTTTCCCCTCTTCTGCCCTCCTTGCTGTATCCTGACTCCATAAAGCGTGCCTAAAGATGTTAATGTACTGTGAATTTGCCATCTCCTCCATCTTACCAAGGAACAACCCACAGGGAGAGATTCCATCTCTTCTTCCCTCCTTCCTTCACTTCCTCTAGTTCACAGGTGCTGTTTTCAAACATTTGTTCTTAGGGTCTTTTTTGTGGACTGCACTGTCAGCACAATTTATTTATTTTTATTAAGTTGCATGATTGTATGTTTAAATGTAAAAGCATCACAGCCTGGGATAGTTCAGTCAGTAAAGCATGAGACTGAATCTCAGGGTTATGAGTTCGAGCCTCCATGTGGGGTAAAAGATTCCTGCATTGCAGGGGGTTGGACTAGATGACCCTCAGGGTCCCTTCCAACTCCACAATGATTCTATGCTATTGTTCCCCCTGTTCACAAGCAGACAAATGAGGCTGTGAGGTGCAAGTCAGAGAAGGAATGAAACAGGACCCATTTTCAGAATACTGGAGCATAGCACAGCTGTTAACTGCAAAGAATAACTGGGGAATATACAGGGGAATATACAAATAAATGTACACATTGGATGATTCTGTGCATAAATATACAAGCAAGTTTTGTTTTTGTTTTTAAATCTGAAGACAAAAATGGGAAAGAACAGCAAGAAACACTTCTCTTCATTCGTTGTTAATTCATTCTTTAGGGAAACATGCCTCTGAGCATGTAAAAAGTTTGTCTCGATGTGAATAGAGGCGGGAGACACAAATACGCCTTTGCAACAGATAGGAAGAACTTACAGAGCTGAGGCCTTGCAAGGCAGGGAAATCACACTTCTCAAGAAATGTACACCTGTTGGTTTTCCACCTGCCGTACAGCGAACAGAGACCCAATGCATAAACAGCAACAACCTGGCAAACCCTCGCTAGCGACTCATGAGATTTTGGAGACGACTGGAAATGCAGCCATGGGATTGTGAAAGGATTTCCTATGTGCAACTTCTCTTCCGAAGTCCACACTGTTTCTGCAATGGATTAACAGTCTGGAGACCTGTGGGGGAAAGAAAAAGAAAGCAGAAGACGGCCAGGAAGCCTTTGATGTCCCTGTAATCTTTAAGTCAGGGATAGGGAACCTGTGGTCCGGCTGGCTGAGCTGTAAACAGAAATGGAGCTCTTGCTGCCTGTTTTTTCCATGGTCGGTGGCAGAGGGAGGGTGGACACTTAGCGCATCTCCCAAAAAAAAAACAGGCAATGCATCACACATACAAAGACAGGAAGGAAAGTGATTTACATGAAATTTGCATATGCTAATAATCACTGTGTGGGACGCGGGTGGCACTGTGGGTTAAACCACAGAGCCTAGGACTTGCCGATTACAAGGTCGGTGGTTCGAATCCCCGCAACAGGGTGAGCTCCCATTGCTCGGTCCCTGCTCCTGCCCACCTAGCAGTTCGAAAGCACGTCAAAGTGCAAGTAGATAAATAGGTACCACTGCGGCAGGAAGGTAAACGGCGTTTCCATGCACTGCTCTGGTTTAACAGAAGCAGCTTAGTCATGCTGGCCACATGACCCGGAAGCTGTACACCGGCTCCCTTGGCCAATAAAGTGAGATGAGTGCCGCAACTTCAGAGTCGGTCACGACTGGACCTAATGGTCAGGGGTCCCTTTACCTTTACCTAATAATCACTGTAATTGAAATAGAAATAGGCAACACCATAATGGAGAAGACTGGCTAGGTGACCCGTGTGCCTGCCTGTCCAGCAGCTAACTGGGGACTAGCCAAGAATCCATTCGCTTTGGACTACAACTACTATGATGCTCTGCTGTTGGGCCTGCTGGCTGGAGCTGATGGGAGTTGTAGTCCAAAACAGGGCACCACTTTCAAAGTCCCTTTAAATAAGGGGTAGGCAAACTAAGGCCTGGGGGCCGGATGTGGCCCTATCGCCTTCTAAATCCGGCCCACGGAAGTCTGGGAATCAGCGTTCTTTTACATGAGTAGAATGTGTGCTTTTATTTAAAATGCATCTCTGGGTT